ACGGTATGTATCGATCGGTGCACTTGCCCTGTGGCGTGCCGTGGTTGACTTCAACTCAACCATGCGCGCTCATTCAACGGTTTCGCGATGGACGTGACTGATCCGTTCATTTGTACCCAAATGCATGCATGCCTTGTCGTTCACAGTCATGTTACCTTTTGAGACATTTTGAGATAGACCAACACCTACTAGTGGACATTTAGCAATTTACGGTGCTCTCACTCACCTGAAATTGTGACCTTTGTTCCCGTACTTGCAGAGTACATGGGGTTAGACTTCTGGGACTAACTATACACTATCTTTCTCAAACAACGCCGTCGCTATTCAGAGACCCAAAGAACTCATTTGAAAGCGAAGCTTTCTATACGATATTTGCCGCTAATGCCCCACCAATTTGCACAGATCACAACGGAGCTCGCTTCAATGAGAATACTTCCAACGTGTACCGCATATTCTTCACTGCACTCTCCCCAGTCTCAATATCGTATCTTCCGAACATTCTACGATTTAATAGTCTGCTTCAAGAGCTCTGTTCCTGTTAACGCTTTTGTCACAGAACACGCAGTTAGTAACTGCGATGTGCCCAAATGCTTTGCCCCATCTCTGCCTGGAGAAAGGACCATTACATGGTAACTCATGTGCCAACAAACGTACGCCTTCACTTCTAGTTTATACATTTACTGTTGTTTTATGATCTATGGATATGTAGGTGTAGAATGCATGGTTGTCTTGGTTGAGTCCGTAAAGCACTTACTACTGATCAGTCTTTTTCCTTAGGGTCTCAGTACAGTTGTGCGACATTAGGTGTTCTGTCTGCCTTATCAGTTACCAGTTCAATTTTGCTGGTTAAGTCCACTAACTGTTCCAATACAAATGGTGTAGGCTAGTCTGCGCGTGGGAAACAGCGAGTGTCGATTTCATCCGTTCAGACTAGGACAGTCGAAACCTAAGGAGGACATTTGTAACCGCTTGTAACAATGTAACCTGACGTGCTAGCTAACATCGGAATACATTTCTATGATCAGTGGAATCTATTCGATAAGGTAGGGACATCGGCATTTCTGGTAAGGAAACAGTGTTAGCTACTTATTTGTAATGATTACTTCCTCCGTCTCCAGTTCCACAGCTTCCTTTTCTCCCCACTTGCTTCCAGGGCGAAGGCTGTGCCATTTTCTATCGCACAGACAAGTTCAAGTTGATTGAAGAGAACCATGTGCCATCTTTGATGCACTACGCCGAAACCAATCCATTTGTGAGCGAATTGCTCAAGCGTCCTTTGCACCCCTCGTTCATCTTGGATCCCACACAGATAATCGATGCACGTGATAACAAAACGGATCCTCAGTCTTCCTATTTTCAGTGCCTGGCAGCTGTTCTATTTCGGATACTGTACGCTGAAAATGGAACTGCCTGAACCACCAGTGTGGTACTTCTCATTGGGAGCACACTAGTTCTCTCCGACCGGTGACTTTTGGCGCTACATACAAGCACGTGCTGTGCGTCAACATCTAAAGCATCTGATCAACTGGGCGCATTACCAGTTGGGGTGATATATATATATATATATATATATATATATATATATATATATATATATATATATATATATAGGCTCACTGCTACGCCACCAAACTGGCCGAATAAATTCGCATTTGCCCAAACCTAGCCGTAACTCGTCCGTTTCGTTCCAATCAGCCTGCACCGGCTGCCAGGTTGTAACTTCTTGCTTGGCAATTCATCGGCCCCTGTGTCGGTTCGTTGGTATTTCTAAACCCTTATCCTCAGGAAATTGGGCACCTCCTTTTCAAATAGATCAACGTATCGTTTACTTGGTGAGCTCTATCTCTCGACTTCTTGCTCTGGGGTCAATCATTGCAATAAATCTGATTCTGGATGCCACCAGATACCACGCTAGCCTTAGTTGCATTACCGTTGTACTCCGCACGCGTCATTTTGCGGCGACTCACTGGACTCGCCTGATAACCGGATTGACTTCCACACTTGTTGTGTTTGACCACCGATGCTTGTGCAGTATTGCTCACGTCTGGCTGGAACACTGAGGGAGCAATGCTGAGGTATGCCAGTTGGTTTGCTGAATCATAATCGCTTACGTTGCCAAGACCATGTCCTGCGTATGCTCTTTGACCGGCTGCCCCGGGATCCACTATACGCGCGGCTGCGCCAAGTTGGGCGAAACCGCCTGGTAGACAGTCCATGACGTGACATAGTGGCACGAAAAAATTGACTGAGCGCTTTGGTCAGGCTGATGCGTGCCGTCTTCATGGGTGGAGGTATCGGAATGGTCCACACCAATGGTTGGAGATCGTACCAGACATGACACAGTCATTCATTTAGTGGCACACGTGCATTCGGCTTCTTGTTGCATCTGGTTGTGAATTTTCGTTCCATCCCAAATAGTGTAACGCACTTCCTAGTTGCCCCAATTTTTTTACATTCAGCCACACACATAAGGACGATTCTCTTTGGTGATTTCCACGAACTTGCACACCGCCTTCCACTTTGTTGGACATAGCAGCTTGTGATACAACCTATCACTGGAAGATGTGTCATCGGAATTCCTTTTCCTAGAATATTGACAAGTAACCTACAGGTCGAATGTTATCACTTCGTCTACTGGCTCCATGAGACTGTTACTTGTGGATGGGGGGGGGGAGAGATAGAGCGCACAATGTTTGTGACATGTCATACTCAAAAAGTGGTTCCATCTGCTGTGGAATCGACTCCGGCCGAGTCACCGCCATTTGTGTGTTTGATGCGTATGTTCACCAATAGTCCCATGAATGATGTGCAGGTTAAAGGAATGTGGGCCGGATCCCGATCAACTGTGGCTCCAATCTGCATGCTTCTCACTCTTATTCCCTGAGGCTGACACTGGATTTGAGGTGTGTGGGCAGTGTAGTGCAAGTCGCTTATGGTCTATTTGTTCTAGCGGTGACAGGCAACTCCGGAAACGGATACACTTCTGGCCATATTTAACAAGTGATCAATAACAATACAACTGGGACAGTGCCACAACTTTTGAGGAACAACCGACACTGTCACCTATTCTGGCTGTCATTGATTGTCATTGGGGAGGTTACTTCTCCTATCAGCAAAACCCCTGTGGCTTTCCAAACTCTCGGACAACTATAGAGACGGTGGAATATCAGCCTTTCTATCAAAGGTGGATTGTCCAGCTTACTGTGCCGTATGGATCATCAATTTGCCTAGTTCGCAATTAAGATATGAAGAGATCAGTCGTCTTTAAAGATCAGCTTTTTCGGATTGTGCATCGAATGTGAAGATGGCACTGGGGGGATAGCACTGATGTGTTTGGAGAGCAAACGATATATCTACCAAACTTGAACGGCTTACCTTTGTTGAGTCTGCGTTCTGTATGCCCATTGACTGCCTTTTTCTGAGTGCACTATATGCTTTCGTTGCCCCCAGGTGGACGCGAGCACGAAGTGGCAGAAAGACAAAATATTGCCCGAAAGACTTGGTCAGGCCGCTGCATGTCGTGTCTCCGGATGGTCCACACCAGTGCGTTGCCCAACCCACCCAACCCAGTCACGGAATCAATGGTGCTCATGGATTCGGTCTGTTGTGACCAAATGTTATCATTAATTAATTAATTTTAATTATTTACTTTACTTAGTTTTACACAATGTTCTCCCCAATCCTCGGCCTTCTAACTCACCATTGTTACTTACCACTACTCGAGTGACGCGAATCAAATCAAGTGGAGCCATCTCATTCCAGTATTCGAACTGTAGTTGTTTACCCGAACCAAATTACTTGGTCTCGAATCTCTGCCACAGTCCATTTTATTTGTTCGCTTCCTGGCCATTTATACTTTCATTTCCCTTTTTAAGCTTGCCTAGATACCGCACACACACGTAATAGTCACATACATAGACAGCTCCTATTACACGTGCCTGCCCGTATCGATTAGTCCTAGTTTGGGAAAGTCCGCGTCTTCGCAATTGATGTGAGGATTTCTCGAAGCACATCCCCTTTCTCACAGTTCGTACGACCATGTCCACTTTCAGTGCAATCTACTCACTTCCTGGTACGAGATACATGTGTGGGAGAATGATGGGATTTTGAGGAAATTCATCCCAATCGAACTCGGCGAACTAGCCACTATACACCTCAGGAGAGGATTGCCCAGCTGTTTTTCCACCTTCATTAGAGATTGTGGGTAGCACGGATATCCCTCGAATGTTTTAGGATTCTAACTCTTAATCCTCCAAGTAGTGAAAGTGGAAGTTATAGTCTTGGGGGGCCAAGCCTGCCCTTTGCTTTTTGGTGACGTGCACGGCAACGGAATATAAGCACACTATATCGCAACTGGCCACACAACCTAATGGCACCAGCCCGTGTCTACGAGTTGCGCGCCAATGACGAGGTTCAATGAGAGACGAAACGGCTGTGCAACTACTTTCTGGGTGTGTGCGATAGCTGCTTGATTTAACTTATGGTGAATTTCTCAAAACCATTTCAGGAATCCCATAACAATTCTCCTTGTTGGAATATTTTCGCTACCGGTAATTCGCTCTCTGCTTTCCCGAAATGTGCTGACCAAGTCGAACTCTATCAGTGCTCTTCACATACTCACCCGCCTCTCTCACTCCTTTCTGTGTCCAAGACTACACAGATGATATCACTGTCTCTCGTTTGTGTGCCGGTTGTATTGAGCCGCCGACGAAGCTGACGGAACATTCCTGGCTAAATGCTAAGAACCGCATTGTCCGCGGCAACTGCGTCTATCACGGGATGATCTTCTTGTGCCGGTCATTGTTTTTTGTTCGTCTCTGAGTGTCTTTATTCTACCTTTCCTTCCTCCTATTTGGAGGAATTCAAAACCATAAACGTTGTCATAATAACTGTCTCACCTTGTATTCTACACCTGTGAAATTAACCTAGTATAGAGGGAACCTACGAAGTCGTCACAGTCGATATTCCGCTCGCATCACCCATCGTGTTTTCCTATCGTTATGAATCATCTTTTGTCGTTTTTCAGTTTTCCATTTAGCATCCTCCTGTGCAACAACATCAATCAACGTTCGTATGACGGCGAGCGTTTACAAGCGTCCTCCCTCCCTCTCCACATGACCTCCGCTTACTCATACGATACGGAATCGTTCACCAACTGGGTTCCTGGCTTCAAGGCATTGTTAGACGTTATCCTTTACAGTGCCGACTTTGGTCTTAAGTGCGTACGGACCTTACCAGTGCCCAGGCAAGACCAAGTCGTGCACACCCCCGAGGCACCCTGCGAAACGATGAATATGAGCTCGAAAGGCGAACCGGTGACCGGGTTAGATGTGTACGACCTCCCAAACAAAGAATTGCTCAGTGACCAACTGCTGTTTTGGCCAACTTTCATTTGTACAACTAGGAACTTCGGCACTCGCGTCACTTTTGTGTTGTGATATCTCCTACATCATTACAGAAAAGAACATTTTAAACTGGACACGTTTTTGTTACATCTCTTCGAAATAGGACATTTGAGGTGATAATTGTGAGGGTAGATCCGTTTAAACTCTTTCTTCCAGAATAGCTTTGTCATTCGCCGAGCCCATTCGGCTCATGGAGAGTTGCGTAGGCACCACGTGAAATTTACCCACGTTTTGACACTGATCTATGGCATAATGGAACGCAGGAAATCAAGTTAGTGACTGGTTGAAAAACAGCTAAGATAGTTAATATCTATATATGCACATGGTTAGATGTTTACATACTGGTATCTTAAGATATCTCAGCAAAGTACAGGTCAGCATACCGGTAATGCGCGCTCACACCTCTGATAGTTCTTCAATGTTCTACGATGATAAGTAAGAGGCCTCAGTGTCTGTTCTTTCCTTACACCCTATCCTACGCTGAAGTTTCACGTCTTAAACATTTTCTACGTTATTAGTATCATGCAGAGAAATTCATGAACTCAATGTCTTTGCATATAGTATCAGCCGCCTCGACTGCAAGTTTGCTTAAAAGAGTTGCTCACTAGACACCGTATCGATCACACAACGTTTTCTGAAAAGCTTTGAAAAGCGGACAGCAAGATGGTAGACAGTGCGCATATTTGTGAACTCCGTCTGTATCAAATGTGGCTCTTGGACACATTTCCCCGAAGTGTAGCGGCATAGTTTATGTGTTACCCAACAATGTTAAGCAATGGAAAATTAGATGCTCATTGCGGGTGTCATGATCAGTAAATAGCCACGCTTGGATAGCCGGCCACTTGAACTACTTCCTGGATGAATCCGACGCTGTTGTCACTAAACCCCTTCAGTCGTTGCAAGAGATAACCAGCTAGGCTGTCGAAGGGTAGATCTAATTTTTATTCGAGATCTCGAACGTCGTCCGCTTGGATTGCTGAGGTGCGAACTATCGATGGAGACGTTCCGGATGTGTTCCAGTAACACCGGTAAATGCAATTCTCCAAAAACACGCTGTTCAGTTACCGTTAGCTTCCAATCTCGTGTTTAATTTTCGGTGACACAAACATCTACCTGAAACCACAATAGCACTGAGAGATCATTTTCGCTTAACTTTCGTGAGTAAGCGCTCACTCTATCACGCTTGTCGCTGTGGTGTCATCTGGTTGCTGGTGGTCACATTTTCATAAATTATCCTGAGGACATCAATTGTTATTTGCAATTTGCCCTATAATCGTAGGTGCTTGTGAACTAAGTGTCATCACGTAATTCATATTGTCGTAACTCAGAAACATCAGGTTAGCTAGTTCCGCTGAAAATGGCCTGTGTCTAGGTAGAGGCCGGTCCGTAAGACGCCTGTTCGTCATCGTCACCCGGATTTCATTAAACTGGTGTCCTCTTTGTAGTTAAACTGAGGAACCGTCAACCATGGGCACCTCACGGTAGTCTAGCTTTCCGGGCCAGATCATCTCAGACTGAACGGCGGCCAGAGATCGGGATGACCACGCTGATAGTCACAACGCTCTTACCAGTTGTATGCGACCTGCTTCGTGAATTGGAACACCAGCTAGACCCACAGATTCCAACCCAACTGTCCTCATTTTCAATTTACGGTATCACGACGGCGTTCTACTGATCAACATTCAATATTCTGGATCCTCGGAGTTTTGCGTACTAAGTATGTGCATGAATTATGTAAGCGCGCCACCACAGCTCGTCCACTTTTTTAAGTACGTGGTTATCACCGAGTTGGATCAGACCGCCACATGTGCTACGTGAATTACTCTATGCGACAGTGACATCAAGAGACGCAGCTGTGCGATAATGCATGCGAAGTCGTCTCAGCAATCACAGAGTATTTACTGTGCAAAGAAACAAGGTTTACTTTTTGTAGCACCGCTTGCAGACACACTGTGCACCGAAGGGCCACTTGGTGTCCACCTATAACTGGTCAGCGATAGACCCGAATTGCCATAAGTTGCAGGTGGCGTGGTTCCATGCTGGAGTGTCGCTCGTTCCGGAATACCAGCCTCGACTATCATCATACCTTGGTACGGTGTCGTTTTCCAATGAACTATACTGTGAAGCGTAATAAGCGTTCCTCTCGATTCGCAACTGAGTAATTATCTCAGTCGCCGGTCACTTAAAGCTACTAGGATGCCCTACGTACCGAACTTTCCCTCTCTCATCCTAATGACACTGAGCTTCAATGGAATAGGATTTCGGCCGCCATGCATTACGCAGGAGCATCCGCTTGTGATACTATCAATCGTCACTACACCAGTCAATGGCTATCCGAGAGGTCAGTGAACCAGTTGAAGTTCAGTAGAAGATTCCTTGCTACTTTTCAGCACAATGTAATCAGATGGACTATTATGCGTGAACTAGAATGGAGCATGCGTGTTGGAAATCAAGTCTGCTGGGCCAGTAAGGCTGAAGAAATGGAGGCGTGAATAGTAGGCAGTTATCACAAGCTCTTCCAATTGATCTGCATCACCGGTCCCAGGTGTCCGTGGGCCAAACAATTTTGTCTTGTAGTTTAACCATGTTCAGATAGTCCATCCAACCATGTACAACCTCTCCAGGGTGGTCTGATCACTTGACAAACGCTTCGCACCTTCAAAGTGCAGTGTTGTTGCAGGACCGCCAACCATTTGATTACCCTTAGTAACGATGAATTCGAGATAGTTGATCAATTCAATTACCTTGGCAGCTGCATCAGTAACGACGGGTGCATGACCACTGAAGTCAGTTTAAGCGTTGTGCAAAATAGAACTGCCTTCTTGAACCTGTGGCGTCACAGGGTTTCGATCGGTTTGAAAAATCACGTGTACTACAGTGTGAGACGTCCTCTATGGTAAAGAGCCTTTACCCCTGAGGCGCCTTCAAGTCTTTGGTCATTGTTGCTTGCGGAGCATTGTTGATGTCGAATGGCACCAGTGTCCGCAACAATGATGTGCGTAGACAACTGCTAGGAAGCGATAAGCAGACTCGATTTTATAATAAAAGATAGATTTGAATAGGTTACGTCAGATTTGGTACGTTTCTGGTCACCGCTTACCGAGGAGAGTCTTGTTTTATTAACCGGTGGCGCAAGGTTCGAGGTAGGCAAAATTTAACTTCGTAGCGGGAAATGAAGTCACTGACGACCACACTCGATGCCGTCGGTCTGTCTCGCCTTCAAGACTGGAGTCCACGTGACCCACCTCCTTAGCTCGAGATATTAAAGGGCATGGCTCATAGTCGCCATCAATGGCGAGTTCACTGTCCTCTCCTAATGGGACTGCCTGTTTGAAGTGTGTTTGGTGCTATTATCTGTAGGGTAATGTCCGATTATGACGTGAGGTACTGAAAAACTCAAGGAAGCTGTCTCACTTAGGTGTCCCTATCATTACACGATAGCCGGTTGTTTATGACGGTGTAAAAAGCTTGAGTCTGAGTGTTTGTTTAAGGCACTAAGGTTTTACGCTAGAGCTCGCTTCTCTCTGTTCTTCGTTTCGTAGTCGTTTTGGTTGCGCGGCAGCGAAGCATCGGTTCAGCGGCTGGTGCACTGCGGCTGTTGTTGTAGTTATTGTTGTGTTTGGAATTATAAAGTTAGTATCATGTGTCAACTAGTCTACATGCATCGGAGGCCAAGTTGTCTTAGGGGAAAACAGCTTCAATACACCACGCTTTCACCATAGGTATCTGGTGAATTGCCTCAGTACCGCTAAGCACTCACTTTGATCCTTTGGTGTGATAAAGTGCTTCGATGAGCGTCTTGATGTTCGTTCATGCGATTCGGATTCACTGTCCACTTCACCCAACAGTTCCAGCTGACGAAGACGAGTGCTCATCGTAGTCGCTCTGTCCATCCAAGTCTGAAAATCGACCAATGCAAAGGGGATGCCAAATTTGTTCCGCAAATATTTGAGTGTCTCTTAAGAATCTATCCATCAAAGTAAGCTTGCGCAACTTCCCGTAGTTACCTCTATTATTATCCAGTTTTCTATTAATACTACTGAATAGTTTAACTCGCTGTGCTAGCTAGGTGCAATGGCTATGTCATGATGCCTGGTGAGTATCTGCAGTATTCACGAACCTCAGTTAGCCGCCTTCGCTGTAGCGCTTCTTCGAAGTCACCGCCAAATTGTACCGGCTTGTCGTGCGTCGTGTGATACATTTTTGCCATCGATATTATTTTGCCGTTCTCCAACCAAGATGCATGATATGTTGTGTTTGCTCGCGATGGGTGTCTTCGTTGACCGGCCAATAGCTCGGAATGGGAGAGGAAGGATTTCTACACACAGAAAGAAAAGAGGAAATGCAGTCTTAGAAGTGAAGCAACGTTTAATATTTAGCTACAATGGTAGTTCAAAAAGAAACCGAACTAGTGAAGTAGCGCGGTAACCGGTAGAGGGATCGCGCTGCGGCTATTGAGTGCTTGCGGTTGTTTGCATAGACAAAAATAACTGCCGCTTGTCGCAATTCACCCTGACTGTTGGTTGTTGAGTACGCGCATAAGCTGTTCGTCGGGCTGATGCCAAGGAGACAATGGAAGTGCTTAAAGAACAACATGTGTGTATGTGAACTTTTGATGTAAAATTGGCAAAACATTTACACAGACATTTCACTTGCGTAGCCAAGCGTACGAGCGGGACTGTATGAGTCACACGAAGTGCTATGAGTGGTTTACGTGTTTTGAACACGGTAGAATGTCGGTAAATGACAATCCCAAGCCCGGATGACATCCCACGTCAACAAACGATGACCATGCCGAGAGAGTTCTTGCTGTGATCCGTGGAAATGGATGTTTAACTGTTCGAGAAACTGCTGCCGAAATGACCATCAACATTGATTCATGCCAACAAATTCTAGCACATTTGAGGGATGCTGTGTGCGGGGAAAAAGGCCGGAACTGTGGGGAAACCAGGCTTGGATGTCGCAGCATGACAGTACGTTGGCCCATACATCGCTCCCTGTCCGCAGCTATCCAAATAATGAATACTGTACTATACAGCAAGTAGAAATGAATTCTGTACAACTATTTCGGAATATGGTGAAAAGGTTGTAAAAATTGTCAGCCGTGAATATCGTTATCGTTCTTATGTAACATGTAAAAGGCCTGACTCAGAAATGTGAGATGTACACTCGCGCAACCGTTCTCTGAAACGAATAGTGGTAAAGTATAAATCCAACAACGTTTTTAACTGCTGCACAGATGTTGCCTCCATCACAGGTTCATGTAAACTGTTCCAAATATCTACCAATCTCTGTTCGAAGCATAGTGGGTGGGGAACACGTTTGGTACTGGTGCACAGATGTTGCCTCCATCACATGTTTAGGCAAACTGTTCCACTCTTCGTTAGAAGCACAGTGGGTGGGGAACTCGCTTCGCATCCGGCACGACAAGTTTGTATCAGTGTCCACGTGTGATACATCACCCTCGTAAGTGCAGCGTTGGCTTCAGCATGGGGAAGCCATCGAGATGTAGAATACGGTAGGTCATAATGAGGTCGACTCGCACCCGACGGTAGGACAAGGTGTGAAGTTCTAGTTTCTTGCACCGGTCTTCATAACTCAAGCCAGGTAAACTCGGCATGAGCCTAATTGCAACATGTTGGATCTGTTCGATCTTTTGTGCCTCGTCTCGGATAATCTGAAAGTAGGCGGGCGAACCGTACTCCTACATTGATCTAATGATGGAAGAGAAGAGGCGAGGGGCAACCTATGTGCCGAAGCTAGGTTAGAGCGTCCAAAACATGGGCAGTCAGTTACGACATAGCTTGTTCGTGTTGTCCACGGACTTCAAATCGTAGCGCGATGGTGCACCTAGGTCCTTCACGCAGGATGTGGGATATAGAGCTTAGCCATCAAGATTGTAGGTTCGGCTGTCAGCACCCTTCCTCAGGATCATAAATACGAACTTGACGGGGTTGACCAGGAGATGAACTGTTGCAGGCCAAGTGGATAGATGTTTGAGGTTTTGCTGAAGTAAGCCACAGTCGTCAGGAGCGTCCATTTCTCTCCAAATCTTCATGTCGTCCACAAACACGGCCCACGGCGACGGGAGAAGCTGAGGTATATCATTGATGTGGATCAGGAACAGAGTGCGCCCCGGCACAGTGTCTTGAGGCACGCCAGTTGTAGAGGGATACAAGTCAGTTAGATGCTCATCGACCTGTACCCTCCACTTCCGTCCAACAAGAAAGTCGCGGATCCACCCGTGCACTGAGCCACCGATACCGCACATCCTAAGTTTGTGAAAGACGACGTCATGGCTGACATTGTGAAACCCTTTATTGAAATCGATGCATATCACGTCAACAGCCTTCCCCTTGCTTTTTGACTTTAAGCACTCATGCCTCGTCACAAGCAAGTTTGTAATGTATGAGCGGCTTTGCATAAAACCGTCCTGTGCGGTCTTCCGGACCTCTTTTGACGGTGGCAACGGCAACAATCCCTTCTTCACGATTTGCTCAGCAACTTTTGCCAAAATATGTGTCAGACATATTGGCCTGTAGTTGTCTACTTTCCTAGGGTCGCCGCCTTTCGGAATAGGCTTCACCACCGAACATCACCTGTCAATCGGCCACGAACCTTCGGACAGCGACCTGTTGAAAAGGTCAGTCACGACAGGAGAGATGATGGCCGAAAGTGACTCGAGTATCAGTGGGTGAAGCCCAAGAGGTTCGGCAGGTTTGGGGCGGTCAAGATTGGCGAGTATTGGGCATACGTATGCGATCTCTTAACCAAGCTCGGAAAAACGATCAACTGGTGAGCAACCAAGCTGGGCTACCAGTGTTCCAAATTATTCCGAATACTTACGGGCGCTCAATGCTACGCCCTGCTCGCCGTTGGGAGGATTTTGCTTACCGGCAAGCCTCTACAAGGCAGCAGCTAGTCTTCCTCCATGGTTGTTTGCGAAGAGATGTTCTTCCTCGCAGTGTCAACTACAGACCGCCGCTAAATCATCCCAGGGCTTGGGATGTTGCACGCCAGTTCGGAAAACGCATGGTACGAATAATGATCACGTGGCGCAAATCGAAATCGCCACCTTCAAAAGTCACCTGTCCGTGCATGACGGACTGACAATTCAATAAGCAGCATTATACACTGCCTATTACTGCACTGAAGATGCCACCTCGCATGGTGGTGAAACGTATGCGATCTCTTAACCAAGCTCGGAAAACGATCAACAGGTGAGCATACCTTTTCAACGCCGTAATCCAAACTGTCGAGTTCGGTAAAAGCGGTACACGTCGAAATCGGAACAGATACGTTGTCATTTGAAAATACAGAAGCGAAATGCGTCGCCAACGCGGATGCACGCTCAGTACTGCAGGTTAGGGACTGTCCATCTGGGTTATCTAGCACTGGCACATCACCTGCCGGCTTCAGGCGTCATTCCACGCAAGCAAAAATTCTCTTTGGGACGGTCTTTGTGACGATTGCAAGCTGCTCTTCGAAATGTCGGCGCTTATTCCTTTTTGAGCTGTTACAGATGTTTCGCTGCGTTGTCTACCCTTCGTAGTCATTAGCAGAGCGAGAGCGGAGGAATCTGTCCCACAGTCTGCATTACATCCGAGCCAGCTTTCCATACTCCTTGTCAAACCAATGAGGTTTAAGTGGTCCAACCCACCGACATTTCGAGCACAAATTGGGAGCACAATGATGCCAATCTCTCTTTCATATATATCCACCAGGCTTCCACAGATGCAGATTGTGACAGAGACCAATCCAGTTGGCTCGCGGCTCAAGCCAGACCATGGAAGTCCGTTTTCCAGTAGTTGTAGCAGAACATCACACCCGTTGTGTCCCATCCACGTATTTTTCGGGCTTAGCTCCTGTAGACTATTTCCTCTTTTCTAAGCTTAAAACCGTGTTGAAATGACGTCGTTTCCATACCGCAGAAGAGATTCAGGTCAATGCGAAAAGAGACTTGCACGTCATCCCAAAAAGCGCATTGTAGGAGGCTATCCAAAAATGGAAGCACCGTTGGGAACGGGGTACTGCCAGTAGAGGAGACTATTTTGAAGTGGAAAGTGCTTAAAATTTTGTACACTGCGCAATAAAGATGTTATAGCAAAGAATCGGTTTCGGTTTTGTACACCCGTCCTATTTCGTTTATGATCTTTCGAAATCAATTACGATCCAACTTAACATTGCGTGTCGCAACCTACATACACAGGAATACTACGAAATTTCAACTGCATTCACAAGAACTGTCCGCGAGGCAAAGTGGCTTAGTGTCGAAAGTGTCTTACGAACTGGAGCTGACTGCCTGCACGCTGATGAATACCCTCAAGACGTGTAATTAATGGAGCAATGGTTTGTGGAGGGTATGAAAGCGAATGCATGAACATGTCCCGTAGGATGGTTAGGGTGCAAATTACAAAAAAAGTACAAAAAATTGGTGTTGGTAAAAGAACGCGCGATACACATGACTCATCAAGGGGTTTGCAGAAGCACATGTGCGAGTATTTCTGCCTGGATTTTAGCAGGGTTGTGACACCATCCACTGTTTGTTTAACATGAATGCCGTCACCTGAAAGTCGCAGGCTATATCACGTAGTGCAAATGTGCAAGGATATTGTTAAAGCGTTTTTTTGAAAGTGGGTAAGTTAAGGGCATTTAATTAATGCGCCGGCAGAGCGTTCTAGGGCTGTAATAATCGGAGGCAGTAAAAGTTGCGCCGACATTCCAGTCGGCCATACTGCGTGACCAACTTAAACTGATGACCCCATAGAGACGTGTTTTGACAGATGCAAAATAGAGTGGCAAGTGTGGTTTGAGTTTCGCAGGATCTGATACACCATTATGAGATCTCCCTGTAGACGCCGATAGCGGCCGCTGTACATTTGCAATTGTACTTTAAAGGAACGAAGCTCGAAATGTGCGTGTACTGACCAACTGATGTGGTATCCCGACACAAACACATCACTCAAGTCAGCGAAAGCTTAGTGAGTTAGCAAGTATACACACCGATCGAGCTTTGCCTCTTTGAAGTACAAATGCAACTTAGTGTGTTGCTTGTAATATCGGGCCACCAACATCTGTAGTCCGGAAACACTCGACATTGAGAAGGATCAAAAGGTGAAAACGACACTTTCGAATGGCTACCGTGTACCGTTTATCAAAAAGCACGCCATAACCCGCGAGCGCTTTAAGGCTCTAGCAATGGTTTCAAAAATGGACGTGTTTCTCTCTGTTTCTTTTAAGGGAGATATCGCCCTCGATCTCCTGAACAGCAGACTCTAATGTCGTAGCAAAGATCTACCTGGCCGCCCACCCGCACTTATTTGCGGAGACCGCACTCTTTATAGCGCAACGTCTTAAAGACAGACTACCCATGTCGTCCAAACTGTACATTGTCTACCAGTTTACTTGTACCTGTGGTGTCAAGTATCTCGGGCATACGACCAGGCGTCTGTCGGTAAGGATGGCTGAGCGCTGTCCAGGGTCACGGCGGAGAGGAACGCTCAGAAATATAAAAGTTCGACCTTGGAACCCTTGCTTCAAAGTGGGCACGAAGGTTTGCTATGCTGTACCGAAGTGATACCCGAAATATTAAGTTAATGTCACCTGAAAACCGCTGTAACGATTGCGATCAGGCTAACACAGTCAGATCTATGCATGCATAGGGTGCTTGTGCAGTGTGACTTTGCAATGGCCCTGAGGAGCAGTTGTTCCTTTGGAGCGTTACGGAAAACCAAGTGTATTTAGTTATTTATTTTTTTGGTATTTTTACCTCTTCGCTTAACCCAGAGTTCTGTTGCGCAAGTCTTTTAGTCGTGTCGCGAAGTCACATGACTAGATCGATTTGAGCACCGAAGGGATGTGTTAAGTCTGTTCAAACCGTGCCAGCCGTTTTCAGTTTGTCTCACACTTGCCTACTGTTGCTTTTAGCACTCCTGTACCTGCAATCGCCTGGTATGAAGTAACGAAAAGAGATCTCTGTGCAACCCTGATCTACACAGTAAATGAGTCTGCGTTATATATATAACGGATTTGGCTCCGTGATCAGGCTTGGTTTGGGTTCACGGAAAGCTACACAACACTGAGGCCTTCGCTTTGACTTGTAAACGCATGATGAAAAGTAGTGATTTTCATCTAAGTGAAATCTCAATGGACACATGCTCGAGAATCAAATAGGTATTCAGAGAGAATCGTCAAGTCGCTTGCACCGTAAGGTGTGCTTTATGTGAGAAGTGCTTTCATTGCAACCGCTGTTTCTATCGATAATTCAGTTGGTTTAGCCAGAACCAAATAAGTTGGGATAATCAGGTTGACAGCATGGCACGTATCAACCGAGAAAACACCTAGCTTGATCGATAACATCGGCCACGCTAAATGTGAAGACGCATACACATGAGGTCACGCCACGTTTGTACAATAATTGTTTCATGTTGTCCTGTCGAACCAGTCTGACTGCAACTGACTCGGTCATGGGCGCTGAGTGATGTTTATATTCGTTTTGGAAAATGTCTGCATATTAATCCAAACTATCCTGTCATCCGTTATGTTGGTGCAATCCCGAAAATCACAGTGCATCCAGCCCCAGGTAAGCGAGAGTTATCGAAGTACCATCGAGAATATGGTTCGGGGACTTCCAATTCATCTACTTCTACAAAACGTTCATAAGCAAGTAGGTGAAGTCTGCAGACATGTGTCAACGCGAGCCGTCTCTTACATGCTCACAAATAGTGGACTGTATCAGACTCATCTTGAATTCCTGGCAGGAATACTCCCATCTGTCCTCATGCAGACATCTTAGTGAGTCATGTACTCCGCGCGTCGTTCTATCGGCACTGTGTCTTCATCTTGTAATTTTCGCCCTATCCTACTGAACTTGATAAGCATTCGCTTTGTTACCCGTTGTAAATCATTGCTCCATGATGTCCACAGTGCACACCGGCTGCATGACCAGAGAAGCGTGAGATTCTGAAATGCAAGTTCCCCGGGTACCATGCGCTCTGTGACCAAGCACATTTCTGTGCTCTTTCCCATGCCACAGTCGTTTAGATAAGCACGACTGTTGGTCAGCTCCTAAGAGAAGGCTCGGTTACTTGAATCGATGGAGGAAGGCAGTTCAACTGGGATAGAGGCGACTACTATTGCATCATCGGTTCTTGTGTGATGACCATTTCCCGTGAATACTGGAGGTCCGATGCAAAGTCCATCATCTATCTATAAGCAGTCTGATCTTCGCCTACTGTACACACAATTAGGCTAAACAATTATGACCAAGATAATGTTTACTCGAAATTTTCATCTAATTGGCTGACTCTAGAGCTTTTTGAAATTCCTATTCAATAGCAGCATACAAATTTTGGTACTGTAATTCCGAAATGCGTTCCCCTGTTCTCTACGTTCTTATCTAGAGTCCACAAACGTGCTCTCCAATTTCAAAGTAGTTTATATAAGATATACCTAGGTTATGCTTAAGCGTAGGTCAACATTTTAAATTGGAAGCCTGAACACCCCATATTCTACTTAACGAGGCGAATGATTTCATTTGTCGCAACACCATTTCCTGCTACACTCAGAGTATATGGAAGTGCCACCCCAACTTAACCCTCGGGTGAGGGTTAATCCATACGAAACAGGGCGATCGACCATCTGCAATCGATTTACTTTTGAAAGTTCTCCTCTCTACTTTCGAATTAAATGCCCTATCAATGGTTCCCCACTGGAGGCGCAGGACAAACCGAACGCGAAAGTAAAAATGACCACCGCAAGTGAACACACGACTGTGTTCCTACGAGCATCACATTTCGAATGGGAAACGTTAGGGTTAAAGTTAAACTCAAAATGGCATTTAGAGCGAGACAGACTGGCGCTGTCCGTCCGAAGTTGAGACAATGGTTGTTTAAATCGGTCACAATAGATGAGCTTTCCACTTGCGCCCACCTATAACAGCTTGGCTCGTAAACGCAGCTCTGACGCGCCTCCATGGGCCAGCGGTTGTGTTTCATCGATTTTTCTAAACTCACCAGATATTGGTCTTAGATACAAACGGGATTTCAAGCCAGCAACAATAAAAGCTTAAAACTTTGCCTTACAACATCTGATCTTCCTATATTTTCTCAAAGTAACTGACCATGCAAACGGTGGATCGACTAACAACTTGCCTAAAAACAAATCGGCGCACCTAACCCACATGGCGGTCGCTTGTATCCGTCGTCGCATTGCCATGCTGTCTGCAAGATCATCTGCAAAGCCGCATCAGGCTTGATACTCACCTATGTGTGCGATAGATGGACAATCAGGACCGCATCTTTGTTATCTGCACACTTGCCCTCAAAACTCGTTCGTTACTTGGGTCGTATTAGGCGGAATATGCTCAACTGACGATTGACAACGTGGTCGTGAGCTTTTTGGAAAATGTCTCTTTCCATGTGCGATTGTGCGTCACATGATCATTGTTGACCTGGATGAAATCAGCTTGTCAGACAAAGTCATGTGTTCCCTGGAGGCAGAAGCCTTTTTTTACCAACGTCCCACTACATCAGACACTTGACCGCGTATGTGAATTAGCTAAAAATTCTAACTGTTCATTACCAACTCAGACTGAATTTCTGAGGGAATCACTGTTATTGTGCCCAGAGAAGGTTGCATTCCATTTTCGAAATGCGCCGTATCGCCAAATCGACGGCGTAGCATTGGGTAGCCCATTAGACCTTGAATTCGCGGATTCCTTCAAGTTGAGGATAGAAAGAAGCATTTCGACAGAAATAGCCTAGGTGCCCCCTACTACAAACGCTGTTGATGATATCTTGGATTTTTGTTCTTTCGAGCAGCAGATCGCTCAGTTCGTAGAGCACTTTAACGGTGCCCAGGCGGACTTACGGGTTACCTGTGAAGTAGAACGGAATAATTGCCTACCATACCTGGACATCCTTATCAGTCGCAGGGAGGATAGATTGATTAAAAGGTCGGTTTATCGAAAATCAACTTGGTCTGACCAGTACTTGCACTTCATCAGTGCGGTACAAGCAAACACTCGGGAAGACACTGGTTAGTCGGGCCAGACGAATTTGCTCTGCCGACTGTCTGGCCGATGAGCTAGCCTTAATTACAAAAACACTGGTGGCGAACAGCTACGCTGAAAGATTTATCGCTAAACACAGCCATATGCGAAGACCGAAAGACTTGGTACACACGTTAGCCAAGAAGAAAGTTTATGTCGAGTCACCTTTCCGAGATGATTTCGTCACGCTAAACACGACCAGGCGACTAATATCGGCCACGCAGGGAAGTTGCTGCTCTGCTCAAGTTGTTGTAATCGACTGAACCCGAATTTTGCTAGTCCCTCCAACGAAGGAAGTTCGGTCTATCGGAGCCAACTGACACTGTGTATACCAATTCGCGTATGATTGTGGAAGCAGTTACATAGGCAAAACTGATAGAACTCTGACTTCCCGAATAAACGAACTTGCCGAGATGGGTCCAGCACGAAATCCCGATGCTCGCCTAGACCGCCAGCTTCCTCGATGGGTAAACACCTGTTGGTCTCGGGTCACCGGATAGGTCTGGGTTCAGCATTTACAGTTGTTTTGCGTCACGTTAATACACGCTTCCTGCGGTTTGCTGCGGCGGTCGCAATTAGCCGAATGAAGCCAGCTCTGTGTGTTCAAAACAATTATTTTTCAGCTTAAGACTGTTGTGTACATAGGTGTGAATTTCCGTCAATCCCTCTGCACCTTTGGCAAATATGGTCACACCCAATGTTAACTATATCTAGGCATATCGGTTATTGTTAATGGTACTGGAGAGACAATACGAAATGCTTGCAACTACCAGCGTTCGTCTTCTTTCCGTGCTTTTCAAATTTATGAAAAGAACTAATTGCTTTAGATTAGTACCGTTGTTTCATCGCAATTGGAATACGAGGTACAAAGGGCAATGTCCCATCCAGAAAGGCACCAAATCATCGTTTCGCCCTATTGGAGCTCGTCGGTGATGTGCATTCTTTCGATCTCCTGCAGCGGGATCGAACCCATGACCACTAGTGGCTTGCAGCACTAGCTGTTCGCAGCCGAAGTTCAGTTTCGTATCTATGAATGGTCGTGATACATGAAGCAGGACATCCAGAGAAATGGTATGTGCAATGCAGCAATGAACTCACCAGGAACTGACCGCCGAAATCTGCTTTGGCTGAGACAGTTTGCACGTGGTGGTTTTTACCTACGCCCTGTGGAAACGGACGAGAGTAAAGGGATGACATTATGGTGAGGCGTTTTTAGGATGATCTGGGAACTAAATAATGTGCATTACATGGACGAAGTATTATCTGGTCTGGCACTCGATGAGCTTCACTTCTACTTAGGAATTCGCTCCTTATAATCTCCAATATATGTTTCTGGCAGCGTAGACCCACCGGAAGGGTACTGCATCATCGAAATTATAAATTCACATCCAGGTACCAATTTACAGCCTGTTTGTCCGTTTCTAACCGAAAAACTACGATATACTTTCAAGCCTTTAGGTATGTGTAATTGTTCTATTGAAGTGGCTAAATAGACAGTGTGACTGCCTCAATATGATGTGAAAATGATTGCTTGGATGGTTACTTTGAAGTCTTTGTTGTGTGGTTAGATTGCGACGCGCAATCCTTATGTAGACCGTGATTCCCATTCAACTGAACCTTGGTCACTCGAACACTAGGACAGTAGCTGAGGCAGATGGAAATTGGATGTTGCCCGCCCGGAAACAGTGTAAGCTTTCCTGGCCGGTGACATCCAATTTCCGTAACTTGAATATACTTGCAGCTGTTGTCCGGATGATTCATTATGATTGGCTTCTAGCCAGCGGTAGTCTTATTTATATTCACACACACTGGTATGCTCTAGGATGGTGTCAGCATACGATAAGTAGATGAGGGAGAAAGACTTTATGCGTGGCTCCGATGAAGTCAAGCTCAGAGAAGCCAAACCATTCGGCTGCGCTGTGAAAAGGAGCTACAGGAATAGAGCAGCAATCGCTTTGAGACTGGTGCCACGCAGATCAAGGCGAAAAAAGCCAACATGCAGGTGTACCAATGGGGAACAGCTGACCTACGTGTATCCAAATGGGCTTCGACACGTACTTGGATAAGCACAGTCGAGGAGACCCGTAGCTTGTATATTAGTGCCAAGAACATATTGTTAAAGCTTTTGACCCATGACAATGAAATGTAACCAAAATTCAAGTGGTGTGTTTAAAATGCTAGTGTAACGATAGATAGGGCTTTTTAATGGCCGGTCACTCATCTGGAGTAGTCTGACTGGAATCGGTGGTTGAACGCTTCACTGATGTATGGGAGCTCCTGCTCCGACCCGCACATAACCCAGAAAACTAGATTATTATCTTAGAAGCTGCAGAGAGCAAACAACTAACAATACGTGGCTGCTGAGACTCCACTTAGACATTGCGCACTTTGGATTATGGAATCCCTATTGATTGGTCGCATTGTTTCTTTTGGAACGTCATCTATTGTGAAGTAAACGTAGGCCACTCCAACCGATGGAGTTGTGTAGGGGGGAGATGCTCAGAGCTTTCTTGAAAGTATGGTGACTGTGTGGCTGAGACAAGCTACAGAGAACTAGCTCAAAAACACAAGAAATCCCCCTACTACTTACTAGTTTTCCATGGTTCCTGGCAGTCTGGCGAAATATCGTCTGTTGAATACTGCGAGCTGCGGCAGCCTAACAATAGTTTCAGCTACATCTAATTGAATAGCAAAAACAAGAACTAAACCGATCGTAAAATTCAGGTCGCCTTTTCGGATACGATCCAGGCAAATTAGTTTGCAAAGCGTGATTGTGCGTCTCGTTAATGACACATGGCGGTTACTCTCCAATGATCGTTTGCCTTTACACAGTGGAACTCCGACTGCTCTCTCGGTCACATATTGTATAATGATATCCGCGCTAACTACTCTCCCCTATGGCTATTTTCCAATAACCTGCAACTGGCTTCTTAACTCACAATGACACCTCGCTGCATAGGAAGTTAGGTCCACTCGAAGGAGGGATAGCTGCAGGGCGGATGCACTCCGCGTTTCCGACTCATGCGGATGCACCAGCAGATTTTCCACGATTTCGCTTCCTACAGTGTCGTTGGATACATCGATTTGCTCTCTCCATAAGAGGATACGGGCTGGCTGTAGCTCGACCTCTAATTCTACGATTGGACAACGCTTCCGGAAACCAGCCCGAACAGACTCTACATTTTAGCTCAGTACTCATGACGATGGATAGTATTATCGATACAACCGTTCAAATGCAAAGGCAACACCTCATCGGTATACAAGCCATGCATTTGCATCGCCCACAGTTGGTGCTCGCCATCAAAGAAATCAGCAATTGACTCACCTGAAGCACGGCACGAAACTCTGAGGCGATCCTTTCGGACTCCTCTGGGTCCAGTTCACCGTCGGATTCCGGATTAACTCGATTCAGCCGTAGGTACTCTTTATAAGCACACGTAGCCAACTCAGCAGCATCTAACTTGTGTAAACAATGATATGTTTTTCGGAACTCCTGAAAACGAAAAGAGAAATCAGACAACTTGGTGTTCTCTGTAAGTATTCTTCTCACGCGCATATACCGTGGTTCATCTGATGTAAATAACAAACGTTTAGTTAGAAGTGACCAATTTAGGACGTAAAGGAGCCGATACATGTAACAGTTGATGCGTAAAACCAGATTCTTGAAGTCCGCTTCAACTCACTGCTAACAAATCCGTGACAGATGCTCATAGTTTATACCGTATCATGGTCGCACCCGACGTATGCAACCTGGTAAACGTGGTTCCGTGGCGACAGAACAACAGAGCCTTGGTCAATCTGTTGCAGGCTGATTGCTGATACGAACAGACAGAGAACCGTCGTCTTGAGTAGTAAAACGGTCCATCGACATTGTGGTCATAGAAGGGACCCCCCCCCCCCGAGTTAGAATGACTAAACGCAAGATGTAGGCCATCAGTGCTTTCAACAAGGCTGTGTGTGAATCCCTCTAATAAACTGGCTTTTAGGGTCTAACAATGTGAGGTGCAACCCTGATTCGAATCAAAGAACATCGACTGTTTATGCGTACCGACAATCAGAAATAACGCTGATACACACTACTGATGTGGTTGAGAGTGTTTTTCCTTGGAGCACGCGAAAGTATTTGCTGATGGGTGGAGTTCAACGTGTCTCCGTGTTGATACGGTGGCTGACGGACAGGTGTCTCCTTGATATCGTATACATTTTCATCATCAGCTCTTAACTGTGCAGCTAGCATATCGAACTTCTCTAGGGCATTCAAACTTTATACAAAAATTGGTGGGTGACAATGAGATCATTTGCGACACAACAGTTAAGGTCATGAAAAATCACTGTGCTCAAATTACGGGCGAAAATGGTCATAGTGATTCTTCGCTTCAACCGAGTTACATTGCTCACCGGTAAATCTTTCTGATAAAAGCGGCGGACTGTTTCGTTTGTGAATGCCCGGGGCGCCATGTCCTTCAGCTACAAAGAGAAGAAGAAACGGAATCGATTAGTCGGATATCCTACTGCACATCTTTGGTGTAAAGCAATAACTTAAAAACGAGCTACGTGTTGGTTTGACCTTCTGGATCCAACAAGCAAAAGTCGTCGGCCAGAAAGTTACGGACATTTCGCTTGTTCGAGGACGTTGCTGTGCCCATTCCTACTTTGTTGTGACTTGTTCTTCTAGGCAGTTTGTTGCACTAACTCTACCCCGTGCATATATATATATATATATATATATATATATATATATATATATGCCACCAAGCTATGGTAAACGGTGGCAGACCGTCATAACACTCAAGTCAATACAAGTAAGGAGCATTATTATGATTCTTATGACATATCCTTATCAATGCACGTTAGCCAAAGGTGCGAAGTACACCACGACTAACGTGCCACAATAGAAAAAAGAAAATACCAAACATTACAAAAAGTTCAAAAAGCAACTACTAGAGAGCTAAATTGCATAGTATGCATTTGGTATAATATGGTAATTAGAGGAGAAATCTAAAGAGGAGGGGTGGACAAAGAAACTCACAATACAAATGCTATTGGGGCCGACTCTTCGCCGTATCCGATCAAACATGTTCATCGGCATTCAGACCCCAGCCCGGCGTTCGGGAGACACCAACTGATGCCAGGTTCAAAGTATGGTTTGTAGTTCCTCTTCGGCAAGTTATCGCTTGATCTTCCCTTCTCTGCTTCTATCCAAACCCCGGTCAAGCAGACAATACATTTCATGGGAGCCGGTGTTTTGACATGCGTCAGCGGAGGTTAGTGAATGATATAACCGTGCTGAGCAATTCACTCACGCTTCCTGCGCCAATTACGCGACGCTAAACATGCCTCTATTGACCACTCGGCATTTCCACCAGACATGAGCTAAGCTGCGAAGACAGCGATAATTGAACGTAGGCAGCCTCTTTATGCCTATTGACCTAGTGGGCCAGATTTCACAACCGTATAGGTGGGTTGAATGGAGGGCTACATTATAACTCTGCGCTGTAGAGCGAGACTGACGCCGAGTCGGCACCACATGTGCTGAAGATTAGCAAAAACACCTCGAGCTTTTGCTATGTGTTTCGTGGTCTCTTATTCCATCCCACAGGTAAAATAACATGTATACAATACACATGCCATTAGAATATGCGTGTTATATATCATAACATGTATACTGCCTTGGACAGCGAGAAGTCCTCCCTGTTGTAGGGACAGATCATTAGGTACGATTATGGTCGTGCTCTCGAATAAGAAAGCTGATCATCCAATAGTAGCTGCATTGTTAAGACAGTGGTATACACCGTTTCTATTGATGTTTGGTCTTTGTGTTGCAGATTTTTCCATCTCCGGTCTGTTGTGGGAAAATTCGTCAGGCGACTTTCCTGGTGAAATCATGTCCATTATCGAGCTCAAGCTGGTGAAAAGACCAGCCCCGATGTCAAATACTCACGTGCCTACATATGGCCTGTGGGTGGCTCGTAAACTATGCCAAGGAAAGACGTATTCGAAGAGGAAGCAAATGAGATTAAATGGCCGTCTTGATTCTACACATAGTTGATGTACTACTCATACTGCTAATTCTAGGAAAAAAAACTACTTTTGCCACTCAGGTATGGGCAGAGTGGAGTAGGTTTACTGGTGTGGCAGATTGTGTGTAAATAGCAAGTTAGTTTTCAGTCATCCTAACCGAACATGTTCGAGGTGAAACTGTTGTCAATGTCCCTGACAGCTCAAAGTGGAAGCCTTACTAAATAGACGCTTGGGGAATGACTAGTTTCGCTTTTTGTAAAGCCATTCTATCATTTATCTGCACCCTTCAACAAATACTACGCAGCGGTGTTCAAGGATCGGAGGAGTTTGTTTTAGGAAGGGACTGCATAGGTCTTGTGGTATATATGCTATCACTATATACTACCCGATCCGCGTCCATCTGTTAAAGGTGGGGACATTTTGAAGAACAACTTATTCCGAGCATATGCGTAGTTGTGATGATGAATATGCATCAAGCCCAATAGAGTATCGATGATTTTAGACTCGTTTGTGCCCCCTATGAGTGGTTGTCAGCGTACAGATCCTTTATGTCACAACGAATTACAAGATGTGAGTAAACACATCGTTGCCAAAAGAGAAGGAAGATACGAAGATAGAGCAAAAGGTTTCCGGATGTACGAAAAGTCATATTTTTTCACAAATAAGCATTATATTTTCTCGAAGTACCCGCCACCAGTGTTCATGCACAGTTCCATGCGCCGAAAACATTTGTAGAGGCAGCTAGACCATGCCGAAGTGGGTAAGCCTTCAGGCAGCTCAATTAAGGCCTCTACTGCAGCTTCTGGAGACTCGTGGCGGATTTCACGCATCATGAGCTTGCCATTGAGGAACACACAGAAGTCACAGGGAGCCAACTCGGATTGTAGGATGAGTGGCCAACCTCTTGGATGTGGTCTCTAGCCATAAAATCGACGACGACATAGGAGCTGTATGCAAGTGCCTTGTCATGGTAAAGGTCCCTCATGCTCGAGTTCTTGCACGACGCCTGGTTACAGCTTCCAGCACTTTTGGTAGCCAGTGGGTGGCAACCAATCTCCGGTGACTGTGCGTTGCTGTACGAACGGTACAGTAACCACATGACCAGTCTTGACCACGAACACAGCCCCCATCTGCTTGGTCACACTGCGCTCACGCCGGAATTGCTGAGGCGGTGCCCCACCAACAGCCGTCCACTGAGCCGATCTTTGCTTGGTTGCTGGGTCGAAACTGTACACCCAGGTCTCATCCCCACGGAGGATCTCCAAAACAGCATTGGAACGTTCACCACCAAACCTTGCAAGCACGGTGCGGCACCAGTGCACCCGAGCTCTTTCTGATCTTCACTGAGCTGATGGGGTACCCAGTGTGCGTAAACCTTTCTGAGGCCAAAGTTCTCATGTGGGATGGTGCGGATTGATCCCGATGAGATCGCGATGGCTTTCCCCAGCTGTAACGCAGTCATCCACACGTCCTTCTCAAGCATCGCTTGCACAGCCGCTATGCTGTCCCCCGTGGTGTCCTCCACAGGTCGACCATAACGTGCCTCCGGAGCCAGGGACCCCCTGCCACGCTTGAATTCCGCAAACCACTGTAACATGGTGTTACCATAAGACGCATCATCACCAAACGCAGCACGCAATCGCTCTACATTCTGTTACTGCTTTAAATCACATATTTGTCATAAAAAAGCCTCGCCCTCCAGTGGCATTGACTGGGTTCCATACTTCCAGTCAGAATATAGCGACCCTTATGACTTGTGAGCTGTACTTGACCGCTGATATAGGGTTCTGTGAGTTGCAATCACAGAACAATATTCAGAATGGATTAGAGTTCATAGTTTTCTTACCAGATCATCTGTACCTAATCTGTGTACTACATATCCGAAAACTTACTGTACTGCCTTCGTATGTGAAGAGGTGTCCGCCATTGCCTTGAGGATTTGCAGTTTGGTCATTCGAGAGAATAATAGTGTAGGACCGATAAGTATAAGTAATAAACTTAGGCATACCACAATCTGGTAAACTGCTCAAATCAAAGGCTTTAAATAACAACAACAACAACAGCTACATAACAGGGACGCTTAGTTGTCACAGCCGTGAACTTAGCTGATGGGCCGACAAACGGGACGAATAAGGAACCAAAGGACAATAAGACAAGCAATTAAGGTCATGACATTTGTCAATGACAAAGCGTTTGAACATGTATATGCAAATATGATGGACCGTTCAGGGTTCGCTTGACCTTTACTGAGTTCAGCAAGATGTATTTGTACGAAGCGGAAGCTGATGACCTAGACGGGCGGCTAGGCGAAGAGAACAGAAACATGCCAACGAAAATGGGCAGCTACGTGTGTAATACAAATGCCCATCTCGTCGGTAGATAATGGTAATTCAATCGCTTCTGATTCTTTGGTATCTTTTTGCTAGGTACGCAACACCAACCACAAGCAGAAAAGTTATTAACTTCCCTGGGGACTAACACTTCACACGGCAGCGATTGGAATAGAGAACGGTCGTCTCCATAAATAATTCGGAAGCCCTTGAGGTAACCTCCGATGCCTATGAACTCTATGAAGGTGGCAGAATCTATCGATAGCTTTATTGCAGCTGCAACCAAAACTACAGACTGTTTTTAACCCTCCAAATCTTTATCGATCAGTCGAAAGGACATTTCCACCCCGAACTCCAATCTCCTATAGGTTAAGCACGTGGGAAGACTCAGTGCAACAAACAAGGCAGTCGGGGAATGCAGTGCTAGAGATGGGAAACGTTAACAGAGTTTCTGGTTTGTGAGCCGTCGCAGGCTGGTATGCACCATGCCGAAATGGACAGCACCATACGAGCCACATCCGAGAGTTTCCCTGTTTACCGTCCCGAAGGTCACCGGAAGCAATTGTGATCTGCGTCTTCAAACATCAGTAAGTTATGGATTGCTCTGACTAGTCCATCGTCTTTGGCACCGAACTCCATTTGTGTGCGCGGGTACTCGAGAAGTATGTGGCGATGTTGGCTGTTAGGATAGAGGTCTTCGGTGGAAATGTTCTGGCTTTCAGCATGTGGCCAATTCTATCCGGTTGTGAGTGAATTTCTCTCGAGACATGGAACCACCACAAGGAAGTAGGCGACTTGGGCACCTCAACTTCCCATGCTAGGCCAAGTGCATGGTGTTTAACGTTGCAACACGTCATAAAGGAAAAATGAATTATTGTGCCTTAAACTATATATATATATATATATATATATATATATATATATATATATATATATATATATATATACGACTGATCGAGTACCACAATAAGTAAGGGATAGAAGAGTAGCCTAAAAGAAAAAACGGCAGTTTGTGAAGTACGATTTCATAGAAAGTGCGTACTGCGTATGGTTCTCGGTCATATCCATTAGCATTTGAAACCAAACGTGCTCGCAGTTCTTGAGCACCCGATCCGGGAGTCGGGAAGGACCAACAACAGCCAAGTTCGAGGTTTGCGCTTCAAGCTTTGGATGCAGGGTTTACACTGACCTCCTTTTCGTTGCTTCCAGCCCACGCCTGTGCTTATCAAGAGGACACGTCGTGTCAGTCGCTGAGTAGGCCTGCAAAGCACGTTGCTAAGCCAGTGAAGCCTCGGTAGTGAAATGATGCTGTCAATCGGTCGGCGGAGTGTGGCAGATTTGATGACTCGCTGAAGTACATCCACATTACTGATGTGATGCCTCCATCAAACCCCAGCAATACTCCGTAGGCATCGGTGCCGGAAGACAAATAGCCACTGTACATCCCACTTGCGAACGGGTGAAGTCTCACAGCCATACACCAGAATCGCTCGTACTGCTGCATTGTAGACTCACCTTTTGAGAGCGAGGCTTAGGTTATGATGACACCACAGATGAAGGCTAGCAAAAGCTACTCTAGCCTTAACGACACGCAGGAAGATCTCATCAGTTAGACCGCCAATACTAAGACAACTGCCAATGTAAATGAATTTATTGAACGGTTCCGACGGATGTCCCGGAAGGGTGAGAAAGAGACGCACTTGGCCAGTCGTGCAACAGGACATTACAGTTGGAAAGGACAAAAGTTAAACCAAATCTGGAGGTGGACATCTCCAGCCTAAGCAGCACATACTGGGAGGAGTTGGTGAAGTCACAAATCACAGCGATAACATCTGCGTACCCCAAAGCGGTTAATCGGGAGCAATTGGACGTTGCAGGACCTTTTGTTCTAGGGCAGTCTTCAGGATCTCGTCCATGGCGAAGTTGAACAAGAATGGAGAAGCTGGGCAACCCTGTCTAACACCACTAGTGATACTGGAGGAGGGCCAAACGTTTCCGTGTACTCGCTTGCGGCCCAAGGTTTGACAGTCAATGGCCCGAATAATGCTGATGCACTTCTCAGGTACTCCGCTCTTCAGTAAGCAGTCCCAAAGAGTCACTCTGTCAACAGAGTTGCACGCAGCGTGTGTACCGAGAAGTCGAGAGCGTAGACCTGCTGGATTGCGAATGTCGTGGCATTGTTGACGCGGTCTAGATCCTAGTGGCATATTTTATGAGCAGTCTTTGTCCTTCTGAAAGCTTGCAGCTGCCTCACCAAAGGTAGATGATAGCAATGTGGTCAATCTGCGTCCAGGTTTGATCAGGCACCAGAGGTCACCAGGTGGATCGTTGGTGCCAGGAACGCCGGAAATTGGTGTTCGTAAGAAACAAGTAGTGGCCGGCGCGCAGTGAAAGGAGGTGATTAGCATTGTCTGTCCTGCGAGTACTGGGACGGGAGTTAGGTGAGTGGTTGCATAAACAATTATCTACATATACATGCGGCTCTACTGTAGTCACAACGCTTAACCCAAACACCGATGAAAGCCGAACATTCAGAAATCTTGATAAATTAGGCACACTGATGGAAGTACACAGAAAAAGAAGCCCGAAGTATCATCAAGAAATTGAAACCCTGACGTTAGACAATGGTTCATTAACGCGCGATTAACGCTGTATATGTGAGTCAACCAACTCTAGGTCTGCAAGTTCCTTTCTCATTGACACTCAAATCTATGACACCCTTCCCTCCAAGAAGAACAAGTGAGATATTCTGCAATATCTGTGATAATGAGAGAGGTGTAGAGTGACATCATATCATAAAGCCGTCAACCCATCTGTGCCCAGATGCCATAAACCTCCCAAAAAGATATAATTCTTGTTCCTAAACATCTTCACACGTCCTTTCACTATTGGTTGCTTACCATCTCAGCTGAAACGCTCCATGTTAATGCCTGAGCAAAAAGGTGGTAAGCGAAATGAAACCTAAAGCTACTACTTGATAAATTAAACACATCTGCTGCTTCTAAAGCTTAAGAAAGTATAGGTAAGAAGAGCGTTGTTCAATTTATTACATGACTGGACTTGCTCAATCACTTCCAGTATGGCTTTATTTCAAGGTGCTCTTGCGTTATCTGCCAGCTACAATTCTTCGATTAGGTTGCGATCAGTGTTGAAGGAGGAGGAATGGCAATCAGCATAGTTCATTTGAATATGCAAAAGGCGTTTGACCGCGTACCACTCAATCCACTGTTGTCCGTGCTAAATTGTTGATATTAGTTACCCTCCGCTAAGCTGGTTCAACTCACATGTAGACGATCGGACCTGAACACTCCTAATGGACCAGTAATATTCTACTCCATTCTAATTGATCAATTACAACTACGCCTGGGAAGCATGCCTGGAGACTTATCCATGCAGAATACATCGGGCGAAAGCTGTCAATGAAACTCACTGCAAGAAAACCCCAGACACTTGGATACAGATGTCACATCCGGGATGGCTCTATAACTCTTGCTGGTAAAGTGATCTCAACGTCTGGTTCAGTTCGGGATCTGAGAATTAGGTATGCTAACTTCTTCAATTCCAACTTCCCGTTGATGATGGATCATCGAATGCTGTGCGCACTAATAGTTAAAATGTGTTCCAAACCTACGGCTTATGTGCAGTCATGATGATGGTGGTGAACATCAATTTCACAGAACATGTCCTCTACCAAGTAGCAAAAGCCAGACTGTTTTCCGGCCCAATCACTAGAACTTTCCTCCTACCTAAAGCAGGACTTGGGGTATGGAAAATTACTGTGGAGTGGTGTATTGTCATTCCCAGCGAATTGAGAGAGAAAGATAGAATAGCTCTAGAAAATGTCTAACGATTGTGTAGTAAGGCGGCCATGGTAACTCCTTAAACCCTAACTTATCATGGTCGTTATCGTCATTTCCAACTTGACCACCTGTGGACGAGACGATTGAAGAACAATCTATTTCTTCTCCGTAAGGTTAAAAACGCATCTTCACAAACAGTACCACCATTAAACTGCGGAACACCGCTATCTATCCCATCCGTAATGGTGTACAGCTGTTACCCCCACAGCTTGCAAGTTATAAAAGGAGACCAGGTTTCCTTTGAACGAGTTATGTCAACCTGTGGTACTACTATTACAGGTCCGCATGGCTGCTAACCATGCCATATTCCGAAATTCTCTAGAGACTTTTCTCACTATACCCATTGTGTTAATGACAACTGGCACACAGCTATCTCCAAAGCATTAACAGAATCTGGCCTAAATCACATGTGAACAGCTAAAAGCCTACTGTAAGCTTACCCCGTCTTTGTCATAATTTGTGAAATTACATTTGCGCCTGTGCTACCGACTCCACCCTACTCTATATTTGATTGCTCCCGTCTCGTTATGAGTTAGTTTTGAAAACAATGGCACAAAGATTTGTACTGAATGAATACACTGCGAAAGATTGGGTCACTAATCCGCAAGAAAATTCCTGATCGGGCTTTATTTTTTTCCCAGATTTTAAAGCATGAGAAGCATAACACTACCTCTGTGTACAAATGATCGCTCCCATTTGGGACTCGTATACCACTTGTCCTTAAATATACAACTTACTTGCAGTCATCTTTGTCATTTAATTAGGTGCTTAGTGTTAAATGCGCAGTTAGTTGGTTGGTTGGTTGGTTGGTTGGTTGGTTGGTTGGTTGGTTGGTTGGTTGGTTGGTTGGTTGGTTGGTTGGTTGGTTGGTTGGTTGGTTGGTTGGTTGGTTGGTTGGGTGGTTGGTTGGTTAGCTAGCCAGTTGATTAGTTAGTTATACAAGACATACGGAGCTGCGGATTCAGGAGCGATCTTACATTCGGTCACGTGATCATGACTTTCTTTCCAGTGGTTGTTTCGTGTTTCTTATCCCTCATATACTGGATCCTTGTACATAAGTCTGTTTGCATTTTTTTCCATTTTGACATAATTCCACATACCACCATGGGATTGGACTGTTTTCGTCCTATTCCTGTGCCTATGTTGAGGCGGTCTTGTCGCGCTGCGATGCATTTGACGAGTGAACGAACCGTACTCACCTTGTTCACCGTGTACCCGGTCACCAGTATGACTAATATGTTCATTGTGACCAGTAAGAAGCTGAAAGCGCTCAATGCCGCGAATTCCTGCGCCGCATCACACTCATTGTCCATATAGATAAATTCGTAATTCCGTACCCAGGGATAAACACACCTCGGATGAGGAGGCCAACTGTCCCTCGAAAGAGTGTCGTTCTGTCCCATGGGATGCTAGAAGAGGACAACGTTGGCATTTCATTAGGGGGATATTAGGTACCACTTGTAAACAAAAATATAATGCGGAATGTCTAACTGTACTGGGGTGAAGGGAGATTGAATGAGGGTACACTACTGATGCAGGTTCCTTAGCAACTCTAGCTGGTCGAGAATCTCTAGCACTCCGGTTGAACGAACTTTTCATGCTTTAGTGAGCAATCCATCATTCCTGACTCCCGTGAGTTCGTTGCTTGTTTGATTAATTACCAAAACATTTTCTGGAGCCATAGAGGTCCCTTTGGGTTGGCATCATGCCCTACTCACCGTTGAATAACAGGCTACTTTCCTGTGATGGACGGCTGTTAAAAAAAATCAGTGCCACCTCATGATAAGCGTATCGTTTTCGACTATAAACGTAGGCTACTTTTGCTTTCAACTCCGAAAATGAAATCCATCATTTCGATGATGATGACTTGGAGACCTTCAGTGCAGGAAACTATGGGGCGGGCTAAAGATCGTGTATGGACAACGCGCAACTGAAAGACGAAGTTGGTGGAATTAAGGTATTCAAACATCTCAATTCTTTTCAACTTACTCAGATATTTGTTCCTGCTTGAAGAGATACTACTGCTACGCACCAATAAACCACAACACCACACAGATTCGCCAGTGGAAGAGCCGGGCAATAGTTTTAAAAAGTAGTGGGGGGCTCCGTGATGAATCCGTTTGTGTCGACAAATGACATCCGTTACTGCTCTTTCCTACTTTAAGATCCGCCCGTGTGAATCGATCGGTAAAATGGTAGTGGTTATCGTGCGATCCCTGATTGCACTATGACTTAACACATCACTTATCGCATGACTTATTCATGATAAAGAAGGACATTGCCCAACAGAATGAATCTCTTTCCTGCGAAGCGATAACATAAGTAATAGTCTAAGCGTGATCTTCAAAAGTCGCTGCCGTATTACCCCGTATACGGATTCTTGTCTCTCCTCCTCCTCTTCCTCATGCTGTCATTGGCCAGAAGGATTGAGTAATGATCATGGATTGGAACAACATCACAAAATAGTGATATAATAATCGGATGAGAAACGGATGAAGTGGGACAAGCGATAATCCGATCAGCAAATAAAAGAGGGACAAGTAAACTTACCAAAATGACCGTCTTCTGCATAAATGCGAGAACAGCCAACAGCAATAACTGTCCCTGAGGGGAAGAACAAGAAGAGTCGGAGTATGAAAGTCTCGCAATGTAACTATGGTTGCACACGTAAGAGTATCAAAAAGACCCCAAGAAGACATCCTGTCATTGGATAAAGCATTTAAAACAAACACTTACCTAATTCGCGCCAGCTAGATAACCTCCAATACAACGAGCACTACCACTTGGGAGTATACCCTAGCTGTGACAGTAACCTTTGTATTGGTACAGCGCGTGCAGGTGGACATAATAACTGGAGCTGAAAAAGCTATTCAAACCTTCGTTCCATTTCTCCCTCCACCGTCCCTCACATTTCTTTACGAGTACCTCCAAAACGTGGAGGTAATCTCCGTCGGTGCTATAAATACAACCGCCAGAATGAACAGAATACAGCGAAGCAGAAGTACAGCGAAGCATACAATCACATGAGGTAGCGCGTCAGAATAGGCTTCGTCTGGATGGCGTTTGTTCAGCACCCTCCAAGCTCGGTGCAATTATTTGGTTGATGGCGCGTAGGTGTTTCTTCTGCGTCTGTAATTCCTAGCGGCATAATTTCCTTTCATCCCCACTTCCTTCAAACGGAACGATAATAGGGTTTTAATCTCGTAAATGTCGAACAATCTGTGTCATGTGAATAGCAAATGTTTGCACCCTGTATCATGTGCTTTTCAGTCAGTCTCCCAATGAGGACTTTGCATGAGTGTTCGTCTGTTAGTGGTCCCTTAGAAGAAGCGTATCGGAGTATTCAGGTTACGTAAACTGATGGTTGTTCGTACCTTAGGAGTTAACAGACCACTTTACAGAACTGCCACAAGGAGGACGCCAGCAAACGACTTGACCTCAAGTTGGGCAACTCAGTAAGTTGTGCTCAAATCCACTAGTGCTCCGGTATTTCAACAGCCCAGGTCTATCGTTCATACCCTCTAAAGCATTCTGCTTCGTTCCGTGGAAAGAATACGTTGGCCAATAAACCGGCGCAGAAAATCTAAAATCACATCTCCTTCGATGCCATTGATGATTGGTTCCCCCAAAGTACGCTTGCTATTCACTGACGGTTCATCGCATTGTCTTCTAAATCAGTTGCTTAAAGGGACATTGCGTCCTATTTGGATTTGTCTCTAGTTCACATCTGTCGGCCGAATAGGCTTCGAAACCAAACGGCTCGCACTGCCATTCAGCAGATTATACCACTAAGCTACGGAGAATGGTAGCGGATCGCCATAAGTTACAAGCTATCTGTGACATAAGGTGACTCAACTTCCATTAGCATAAAAAGTACGAATGTTGTAGAGAACAGGAGTGGCCCCTACAATCACTACTTCCCATAATAGTAACTATGTATGGCATGGCATTTATGTGCCATCCCAAATAGGTTGATTATCTGTGAGTAGAAGATTTTTAATGTCCAAAAGCCATAGCTTCGGTTCCATACACGAAGTTAAAGGATGCGTCCTATAGACGAGTCAGACAGAATGGCAGGACTGTTCAGTGCATTTGAAACGCGTGAAAAACAATTTGCGTGGAAGATGCCGCGGTGAATTACAGTAAAAGGTCTTATTCACAAATAAGCTGTCTAAGTTCTGATCCAGAGGATATCCCTCCAGAAGTGAGGAGTACAGTTAATTTTAAAAATTATTCATACATTTGTGAGACCTTGTAACTGTGTTACCCATGTTTCCCGACTGCGGCGATGCTGTTCGATTGGGGAACCACCAAGGAGGTTTTTGAACTAATGAGTAAAGCGAACTTTCCCACGTGTCAACCGGAACACAGGAAACTAACGGGCAACAACGGCTGTATTTATCAACAACATTAGTGGCAACACCGTGGCCAAAAACCACAAGTGCCTACAAACTGAACTTACGCTATTGACTGCAGGTGGCAGAAGCGACAGAGAGATTGCGTTGCCAATGAGCGCGGTCAAACGTCTACTCAATGTGGCAAATGCCACACTGATTCCAGAGAAGCTAGACACCATCACAGAGGCGACAAATGACTTTGCTTGCCCTCTGAAACAAATAATGACACGGTGTTTACGAAGTGAACATGGACCGATTAGGCTTCAGCACCAGTATAACCAGGAAAAATGGCTGCATATGTTGCACCTTCTGGGCGGGGGTGTATGGTACGACTGATGATCCCCACCGCTTACAGCAATATGAAAATAGTCTACATTAACATAAATGTACCTAACTTCAAATCGTTTGACAACAACTGATGGAATCACTAGACGTTGCAGTAGAACGTCAGATAGAAAAAACCAGGACAAAAAAGTTTACTGCGTTTCTCGAGAAGTTATCAAAATTGATGTATATCAAAGACAGAAATACCAATGATGGCTGGATCAGGAAACTGTGTAACCGACCAATCAGCGAAGTCTAATGGCAAATTCTCCTCAAGGGACTAAACTACAACTTCAGAGATGCAAGAACTACAGACTTTCTAGCAGCATTCGACAGTGCCCTACACTCTACTGGATTTGGTGAAGAGACCCAGAGGCAAATATGATGTACAACTAGCTAAGTGATGACACAAAACACACAATTCAACACACTAACCCGATAAAGTATGATGAATCGATCATTATTCTACCAAGTGACAAGGGACGAATGAAAGTAATACTAAACAGAGAGAACAACACCACAGCAACCTGCAGGTGCATCGACACCTACCGGACCTTGCAGTTGACAAACAAAATGAACAGGAACGAAGCAGATTCAGGAGTAGAACCAAATCATGAAGAGTGCAGCAGAGTCAGAGCACGCGACTTGATTATCAGGTAACTCTACGATCTAACGAAGGAACACAAAGAGGACACACCGGTGCGGCCTATGCTGTCATTGGTGTAAACATCTAAGTACAACCGGGTGAAAGAAATGTGGAGGCGTCGCAAACACCTAAGCTGTGGATTGTAATATTTAATAACCAATTCCCAGCAACATTCACAAAAGCCAAAAGGGCTGAGGATAGATAATGATAAAACACTGATGCCATTCGACACAACTGCTCTCTTTCATCTGTCAACTGGCAGTTGGCAACGGAGGTCCTTACAGAACTCCTGAACAACAGTGAGCAACTAATCGAAAACATGACGACCGAAAATGTATGCAAACTGCCCCATTTGTGCCAGCCCACCTAATTCCCCTTTAAAGGGGAGATTTACGAGCTTTTGAAAGGCACACCAATGGGATCAGCTGCGTCAGGACTCGTCGCGGAGATGGTTATGCAAAAACCGAAGGACGAGGTACTACCACTCAATAATCCGACATTGTTGGTCCGGTATATCAAAGATAGGTTGTGATAATCAAACGCGGCCAAGTAATAGTCGCACAACAGCTATTGAACAACGCTATGGAAGATATCTAGTTTCCGATGGAAGCGGAGAGAGAAAGCATACTTGTTTTCTTGAAAATGTTTGCAATCAGAACCACAGAAGGCGGACTGCAAACATCGATTTACAGGGAAGGAAAACACAGAGACCAAATCTTACACGTTAGCAGCAACCAATTGAAATGCCGCAAAGTAATCTGTGTGCGGACACTATTTCGCAGAATGCAAACACACTTCAGTACCATGGAAGCAAAAGCAAAAAGAAGAAAAGCGCCTATTTAAATGCTTCCAACTCAACGGATACCGGCGGAGCTTCAGCCGACGGTGCCTGGGTCCTAACCACGCAGGCAGTTCACACCAGCGACGGAGACGAGCTGTCTTGTCCTATGCGAAGAACATCCCCCTAAATAGTGGCCATACTATCCAAACAGCATCATCACATCGAGCATACAAACCAACTGCCACCTTAAGGAAAACTCTGTCAATATCAAACGACAAACTGGGGGTGCAAGAATGATGGAATGTTGTACGTAGAAATTGTGAAAAGGATTATATTGGCCAAACAGGAAGAAAAATTGGCGGCTAGGATACGGGAGCACATAAAAGCCTGTGAAAAACATTAGACATTGTCTCTAGTCTCCGTGCATGTGGAGGAAAAAGGACACAGTTTTGACTGGGCAGAACTAAACTCTTGGCACAAGGCGAAAGAAGAAGAAAAAGAAAGTACCTAAAAGCTTAGTTCTCCAAGAAGAATTTAAGCAACATGTATATCGATATTGTCTCAGTAAATCAACCAATCAGACAACAAGTAATTGAACGAATTTCAGGACCTTACTTGAACAAGGCCGATCCAATAACCGCGACTAAGCTGCGGACAACTCTCTATTGATGATATCATTCCGAATGGTGTCGAAACGTTTGCCACCAACTTGTTAAACTCGGCGAACAAATGATCAAGCTGAGCTACTAGTATTCCGAAACAGTTTCAATGTCATGATCGTTCAGGTTAGACAATTGCTGAATCCTTAAAGTATCGTGATTCAAGTTCGCCATCCTTTGACATTCACTTATCAATTGCTGCAATGTGAGGTCAGAATTTTGTGCAGTCAAGCGACCTTGTCCAAGTGTCGGCACCTTTGGCTGCCTGTAAACCATAAACGTGAATGAGGCACTTGTACCGGTCGCCTGTCGTCTTCTATAACTGTGATCATTCGCACTGGCGATTCAGAGGACGAATAGCTGACCCAGTCTTCGTCTTCTTTCTTACTCATCGTCCGACACTTGTACCGGATGTTGTATAGAGATATCTGTTGTGACAAAACTGCAACAACTCCATCAAATGACGGATCAGTGTGCCTTTTCGGTAGAATAAGATTTATGAACTCTTCATGTTCAGTATCACTCAGTTTTGTGGCATAAGACGAAATTTGTCTCACCTGAGACAGCGACCAAATCAACAGAGACTATATATACATATTGGTGGAACCAGCCAGGTATTAAAACTCCCTAATACGCCGTCATAATTTCCGAAAAGGGACACATCCAATTGCGCCTAACCCTGAGCTGGGGCTTGACTTTATCGACGGCTTCCGCGTCAACATCCCAGGAAGCTTGGCCCGCGATTTTTAAACTGCCTGTCGTTGCTGTACAACTGTTCGTAAGTGTTCGTCGCTGGCTGCCATGTTTGGGTTCGACTGAAAATCTGTCGTCACTGTTGTAACGCTGCCCTGGCTTAATCTCTCTGGCTGGCGCTCCGTCCAATCCCAACCAACTTTTTACTCCACGTTCTATCGAGAATAAATTATTTATTTAATTATTCATTTAAAGTCAGTGGCTCATTGTTATACGTCTCGCATCCGCTATGTTTCTCCATCCCTCGTGAGTAGACACTTCGTCTTGTTACTGCCTGTGTTCTTTCAGTGGTTGTACTACTATCCAGTGATTTTTCCTGATCTACTGGGTAAGAACTCTCGATTAATCACCAGGTCATCAAAACGCTTGTTCTGTGATAACGGTGCGCCAAAGCATACTTTCGCTGACATGTGTGTGCTCACTCACATTAGTGCAAGAAGCTGCGCCTCCCCCTTCATAGTGCATTATCTGGTAATGCGTCAACTTCGTCAACCAGACAGAAGTACAATACCATGGTTGTCGAACACTAGCGTACCGTTCGCCAGTTTCTCCACATCTAGTACGATTTTCGCGGGACACCAACGAAGATGTTCTAGGACTCCCCATCCAATTTACACCATGAGGGTATAGTGTCTGTCCTTTAATAATCCACATCCTTTATTTTGGTTTCATATCATGCTTACTCTGGTACATGGTTGAACGTATGTGCGCTACAGCTGAATATGCTGCACTCGTCTTGGGTGCGTAAAGCACTTTCTTTAACTGACTTCCCTTGACGATGCGCTGATGTGGAGATCCCGGAAATCCGACCGGGACCATGATGTTCAAAACAAAACTGGCGAATTAAATATCCGTTTGTCGAGTTGGACGGTTGGATTCGTGCATCGCGTTAACACTACTGCTGCAAAAGTGTGAACTAATGGCGTAATGAGTGTGAATGTTTTGCATCAATGGGGCAATATCTTGTGACGGGTATAACAGAAAATGTTTGACAAATACATCAGCATCATTAAGACGAAAATTACAAATTGAAACAACGTCGATGAAAGCACACGCGAGACACGCGAGAGTCACCAAGGCTTTGGAAGTAGCAAATGTGCGATGATATACCCACCTGTGCCTTTTAGATGAGGATTACGACACCATCCACTGTTTTTAACGTATTAATGCTATAATCTGAAGGTCAAAGGATATGCTACGTACTGTAACTGTGTAGGGGTATCGTCAAGCCTTTTTGTATAGGGGTAAGAATGAAGCAACACGCCAGCAGATGAAAATTGGGTGTTACTAGCTTGAAAACAATCCACACCACAACACATTTCGACCTCATCTGGTCTCATCAGGTGGAGATAGCAAGCCGCGAACCCGCGACCATTGAAATAGTAGCCGAAACCCCTACCCCTCTGGCTACCGGGTCACGATGGGCAACATTTGGCACAACCGTTAATGACTGATTGGAGGCTAATTCTGCAGTACCCAATGTGTGAATGGATTGCGATACGCGATCTCCATGTGGATCGCGATTCATAGTGAAACGAACCTCAGCCAATACGATCACTGCGAGCGTAGCCCAATCAGGTAGAATTTAGGTCCGGGTGGCCAAAGGGGTAGACGTTTCGGCTACTATTCCAATGGTCGCGAGTTCGTGGCGTGTTATCTCCACCTGATGAGATGAAATGACATCGAAACGCGTCGTGGTTGTGTAGTGTTTTCAGGCGGGTAACCCCAATTTCCATCTGCTTTGACTACGGTCCCAGTGATTGCATTGACCGAGGTTCACTTCAGTGTGAATCGCGGTCCACATAGAGATTACGCGTCGCAATCCAATCACAGAACGTATAGTCCAAAATTGACCATCCAATTAGTCAGTTATCGTTGCGCCAAACGTTGCCCGCCGTGATCCGGTAGCCAAAGGGGAAGAGGTTTAGCCTACTATTCCAATCGTTCCGGGTTCGAGGCCTGCTATCTCCACCTGATGAGATGAAATGACATCGAAAGGCATCATGGTTGTGTAGTGTTTTCGGGCGGGCAACACTCAATTTCCATCTGCTTGGACTACGGTTCTAGTGCTCGCAGTGACCAAGGTTTACTTTAATGTGGATCGCGGTTCACGCTGAGATTGCGCGTCGCAATCCAATCACACAAGGAGTATTTCAGCATGACCATCCACTAAGTAACACGCTAATCCAGCTAGCTCATATTCTTCTTAGCGAAAGGCGCCCATTATCCCGGTGACGGAAGGTGATTTCATGCATACAATTTCTATGGTTGACTTCGTCCTTGTGAGACCGATGTAGGCACGGGTAACCCGTGTCTACCGACTAACGCGTTCGCAGCCATATTGCAGCCCCCAACAACAAACCATGATCACCGCGGCATCCTTGGTTCAATAAGTTTTGGGTTACCTGTTTGTTGTGAAATAAATTGCTACACAAATTGGGATGTGTTGAATGCTTGTACACGACGGACACCTCGAAAACCCAACTACGATTCAGTTCCGCGTAGTCTGCAAAGAGATATACCGGTTGTCATTGCAGAGCAGGGTTGGGAGCGAGTGAGCTACCCAGCCCATGTAAATGATCAGAATTCGCGTCAGAGCGGATTGTGTGTTAGGCGTGAGTCACAACCAACCACACAGCGCATGCCATAAAAATCCACCGAGGAAGACCAATGGTCAACATCTGCCTGGTCCATTAAGTTTGTAAACTCTTACTGATAAAACTGTTCAATAGTAGTCCGATGGGTAGCTACTGACAGGGGCCATACACAGAGGTGCTTAGTGTTAGCTGAGTTTGTAATGTAGTAATGGCGACCACTGTAATCTTATTAATCACTCCAAAGCGGCGCGGAACACATCATCATCATTATACACGCTAGCTAGAGGTGGGAAACACTTCAGTTACTGTACTGCAATACACAGAAGCAAAAAAGGAGAAAAATATGCAATAGGTGCAAGTCAGCTGAGTTACCAGCAGAGGATGGGCATCGTTCCGGTAAGCTACCAGCCGGCTAGTATGATAAAAACAAAAAATTACTATGCGAAATTATATAAAGCTAAATAGTGAGATCGTGCCTGGAGGCGGAGAATAAAAGGGATGGGGTGGGACAACGAAACTCACAGCACGAACGCCACTCAGGTCGCCTCCTAGCCATATCAGCAAGTGTATCCAACCAAACGTGTTCATCTTCTTTTGGATCCCAACCAGGGAGCCGAGACGCTCCATCCGAGGCCAGCTCCGAAGTGAGGGCCTTCATTCCTCTCTACCAAGTCATCGCTTGGCCACCACTTCTTCCATCCACACCCTCGGTGCGCAAACAACGCACATCGCGGGAGCCGGCGGACTAGCATGCATAACATGTGGCCGAGCCATCGAAGCCTGGTGCATGAAATAACGGTGCTGAGTGGTTCATTTGCTTTTCTTGTGCCGTAAACAAGGCGGCGAACACGCTCATTGCTTACTCGATGTTCGCACCAGATGTGAGCTAAATTGCGAAGGCACCGGTGGACGAACGTAACTAGCCTTTTTATGTCCGTTGGTCTAAGAGGCCAGGTTTCGTAACCGTACAGTAGGGTCGAAAGTACCGCTGCATTGTACACTCTACCCTTCAGGGCGAGAGTGATGTCGCGTCGGCGCCATAAGTTGCAAAGGTTAGTAAAAGCGCCTCGAGCTTTCGCTATACGGTTCGTGATCTCCTCTTCAATCTCACCGGCGTTGGTACAACTTCCCAGGTAGTTGAATTTTTGAACGACTTCTAGCTGATTCTTACCAACGGTCAGTGTAGGAGACGGTCCAGGCCAATCTCGGAGGAACACTTGCACTTCGATGGTGCGAAGCAAAGCCCGATCTCGACGAAACCCGGCTTGCTCTTCACGAATATAGCCTTCACAAGTGCTAGTCAGTCTGTGAAGGATGATAGATGCAAGCAATTTGGAGGCGATGGAGATCAGACTGATTCCTCTATAGCGGGACACAGGACTCAGTGTACGAAGCTAATGTGCGGGTGCAACGCAGTGCCTGAAGTCTCATCCAAACCTTTCCTCTACGTTTCTATACTTCGACCACCGGCTACCGCGTCAATCTTGCTGAGCCGTTCAAAGTCCTAATGCGCGATCAGCTGCCCCACATGCTTAAGCTGCTGGAGGTCATCGTTGTGGATCATGAACGACCAAAGCTATGCATTAAAAACAGCTGACCATCGCCCTAAGCCCACCCTGGAAAAGCAAACGCTTGTCCATCTAAGGTCTCATATGGCAACGTGTTTGTTTATCTACTGTTGTTTCATGTATGTGATTGGTGAGAATGCACGAAGTAGCGACATCATCTCCCAAACCATGTCTTCTGATATTCCTGTTTGGAATTATAAAGAGAATTTCATGTTCCAAAATTTGACCAAAGGTAGACGTATTCTGAAAGACATGCGGGCAATTGGACACTACCCACCGCAGTCATTATTTTATCACAAGAAGGTTAGCAGTTTATTCAAAGAAAGTATACCTCTCTGGACTGTACCTAACTGTCGGATTATCATACCAAACTGTGTGATGAAATAATGTGATAATCTCAAGCCTGGAATGATGGTGTTTTTCTGATAATAGCCACATTACCTGAGCTTCATTTCTGATGTAGGGTATGGGGTTATTCCTTCGAAACAGCTGACCATGTGAGCAACGTAACCAAAAGACAGACCTAAAAATGAACACAATAGAAGAAGATGAGCGAAACTGACTGATATGTCTAAACACATCATAAAGTATGTCTGAAGAAGCAATCCTCACAATAACTCTTTGCTGACAGCATGTGTGCTGAGCCAGTATAAACTTTCGACTTACTTCAAACAAACTTCCTATATTCTGGTATAACGCTCACGTGGCTATGCCATCTAAATGTTGGCCATTCAGTTACCTAACCAAACGCGGACCCTGTAACCCGTAATATGCTGTTTATTTCGATTTACGCCGAATTCACATGTGTGCAACATCGTATCTGTACGGTGGTATTACTAAAGTATGGCTTATTTCTAGCAGATCTGGTCTACTTTAGAAATTCCATCCAAGGATTTCCCTTCATAAATGCTAAAATGGCAAGAAAAAACATTTCGACAAGATAACCTGAATTCAGCTAGTTCGCGTATCCTCGTCAGCCCATTACATACAATTAGTGGAATGGCTAGTTTACATACAGAGACAATAAAGGTGTAACGTAATCGGTGAATTGGTGGTCGTCAATTTTAGCTGACGCTGCACGGCACTCCGCTTAGAGAGATGTGGCTATCAGCCTCACCAAGACAAGGCTAAACTGGCGACGAACTCGGTCTATTTACGCAGAAGTTTGATTGCCAGCAATTCATCAATGACGTGACATTTCGATTGCCTCCGTATACAACGTAACAATTGCACTAATTGTATGTGAACGGCTGATGAGAATACACGAAATAGAATTAGAATATAACATCAGCTTACCCTCGGGTGATTCCCTAATGTCGTCGTATCGAATAAGGATTGCAAGAGGCCTTCAGTAGTTGTTGGTATTCGGAACATCTATCGATGCATCGGACTGTGATATCATGAAATGGGCAACAACCCAGGAACCACATCGCTTCATTTTGACGTACATACTCTAGACATCCCGTTGTTAGGCATCTTCAATGTGAATCACGGTCCACATCAAGAGTACACGTCGCAGTCTAATCACTCAAGGAGTACTTCAAAATGTTCGTTGTACCACGCCTTGCCTGTTGTGGCCCGGTGGCTTAGGGGTAGAAGTTTCGGCTGATATCCCAAAGGCCCTTGATACGGGTGTAGTGATGGCCTTTCTACCTGATGAGATCGAATATGAGTTTGAACTCAGTCGTTGAGTGCAGTGTTTTCGGGTGGCCAACATCCATTTCCCAACTCTAGGGACAATTCATTGGTGTGAACTCAGATTGCCACACTGTGTGGGGGATGGATCGCAAACAGCTGTGAACAAGGAAGCGGTTGAGGCTTTCCTGCGAAATGTACCGTTTCTCATGGCTTAGATAAAACAACACCAATCCAACATTCCGTCCAAGCTAGAACACTCAAGATGAAGCGAACATGCAATCTAAGTAGTCGCTGATGGGCTAATCCAATGTACTGTAGTTGCTACGTTATTAGGAATGTAACAAATTCTAATTCTTGGGCTGGTTGCAATGGATGCAGTTTAGGGGCCCAGCGTTGCTAGTTGTGGAAAAAATGAATATATCAAGAAGAGGACCCTGTTGTCTATGAAGTAGGCAAGTTTGAATGGCTAGAGAATGTATAGGCTCGTCTCGCGTACTCCATTATTCAGCAACGTACCATCGTCAGCAGGTGTTCAACAGAGCTACATGAGCAATTTAAATCAAGTCCGGACTTTTTCCGAGTATAAGATCTAATCCCAAAGCGAGAGTAACGTATGCGGTTGAAACTGACAACTGTGCACTGGTAGTGGCCGTCACTCTCACACACTATGCAGTACAAAGTCATTCAACATGGCGAACAGCAAGTTGCCTTGCAAAAGAAACATCACGCTGTGAAGAACTTTTAAGGAAAAGGACATAAAACCAATTGGGATTTAGAGAAGACTTCGGTCACAATATGGCGACGATACGCTTGGTCGCAGTAACACACGTGAATGATGCAAGCGCTTCATAGATTGCCGCAAGTCTGTCACTGGAGCCCCTCGTCGAGATCGATCGCAGCCCATATCAATCATTCCTAGGGACGCTCAGTGCGTTAAATAGGTTGAACTGACCATGGTTGCATAACTTGTGGTGGACTCGCAAGTATGTTCAATCTCTCGTTTGGAAGAGTAAGCAATAATTCAACATCACTATGGAGTAGTAGGGGAATAACAATGTATTACATCTAGTATCAGTCAGACAGCCAACAGAGGTCCTGAAAAGCACCGTACGACCGTTTCATTCCTTCAGGAATCGTCAGCAGTTCGCATTCCATCTTAACCCTGTGGGGCTTGAACCCACGACTCGACTGTTGCAAGTCAGTTGTTGAGATCACTGAGGTACGGGAGCTGGTAACGGCTATCCTAACTAACCTATAGGTGTAATATAGCGTCGCTCACTATCCAATGACTAGCACCTCACTGCCGTGCAGAGAAAAGGGTAGCCCCCACCAAGTGACGGCTTTAGCAAACCTAAGCGGTCAATTAACTTATGGCATTATAAATGGTTTAGTCTGTGCACGGGTTACAAAGGAATAGTAGGGGAAATTGAATGGTATAGGTAGAAATTCATGACAGCTAAACTCAGTCAGATAGCCATTAGACGCTTGAAAAAGCACTGTACGGCCGTTTCATCCTTTCGAGGATCGTCAGCTGGGCGCATGCTATCTACCCCTGTGAGGTCTGAACCCGCAATTCGACAGTTACTAGTCCGTGAATAAAACCAAGAGCTCTGAAACAGCATTATGATTGTTACCGGTAAAGACGAATTAAAGTCGTTAGTGAATTGAAGGACCGTTATGACACGGAAGGCAAGTGTGCTCTGAATCGCATAGTGAAATCACCCTCAGACGTACTTGAATCAGAACCATAGGATGTCTAGGTATTTTTATCTTTGAGTATCAATAATCCCATCGCGACAATGAATTAAAACGGATTGATCTCAAATAGCTCCAACGTACTGACCATTTTCTGTGTTGAGGCATTCCAAGCACCTGTGAAAAGCTGGGATAAGCGTATACCTGTAGAAGAGGAATATGCTGAAAAGCGAATGTTGTTGTTGTCACTTCTTGATGTTAGGGAACGTCGTTTTTTAAGTCCCGGATTGACTTCAACACCCGTCCTACTTATGATAGTTTGTGGCCGAGTGGCTCCACTACACTACAGTTTCACTGGCTATTGCAAACAGATGGCAGGAGAGAAGCGCTTGGATCATCCCCACAAGCTTGAGCATGCTGAAGAAAGACGCCAATCGATTTGACTCCAATGATGCACTTGAGCCAACCGATGACCTTGGCGAATTTCGCTTTTCCAATAAAGTCATATGACACTGCTTTACAATGTTTCCTGCATAACACGGACCACTTTAATTGCGGCTTATCAAAAATTTTAGCCACTCTTTGTTCATATCATAGAATTACCAAAATACTCCCTGTTTCCGTGTATGAAGAATGTCACTTTAAGCCTAGGAAACACTGTACTTTCAAAAGGGTGAGGTGGTCATGAACCTCCGCAAGATCTAATGATGGCTGATTCTTTCAAGATGATGCAAAATAAGTTATGTCCGGTGAAATACTCCAGTGTGCTGTTCAACAAGATGACAAATTACGCAATCGGTAATACACTTAAATGCTATACACATGCCAAACTGAAGATCCTCTGCAAAGAATTGTCTCTCATATTTGGATGTTCTACTCAGCCGCAGAGATACCGCATGGGTTAAGCGGTCTGTTTAGAGAAAGTTAACGTCATCTAATCAGTCCTGCATTTCGCCATCCTCATACATATGTGGCGGAAATGGACGCTTGCCAGGGCTTTGGTTAGTCTCACAAGGCGAATTTTTGGCTGATTTTCCGGTCGGTGAAAAGGAGATGATAAGAACAAAGCTGATAGCAAATGTCTACCATTGGCCATTCAACAAGAAACACAGTTAAGTGAGTGGATTGATGGATCCGGCGCCAATAGTGGCTAAGAACAACTTATTCATCGAGCTTTCAATTAATAATGACACTGCTACACTGAGTATCATCAACCCTACCAAAGTTGTTATCCACGACCGAGCTTAAAGACTGTCAGTGGAGATCACTGAAGAAAACTCCGCTTGCGGATGGTAGTGTTTCACTAATTTGTATTTTAGTTGGACATAAGGGAAGTTAGTCATAACCTACCTGGTGTAAAAACAGATCTAACATCAAATATACTGTGGACAATTGTTTATTGCACTAATATTTCTTCGATTTACAGAGCTCACTGTATGTTGTTTTAATGGACGAGAAGAAATTTTGCATACACGAAATAAATTTCTGCCTTTATCCGTAAATTTTAGCTGCTGGCTGTGGGTGCGCAGGAAATACGCTTAGTAAGTGATGTGTGACCATATGCACATGGTATGTTTCAAAAGAATGTCCCCTTTTACTCCGATGCTCGGTGACGAAACTTCACGCCTTAGGGTGACATGAGAGCAGAATAAATCGCCGATTGCCCAATGATAGCTGTTGGTCTCTCAAAATTTCCCTCAGAAGGTCACAGGGGTGTGAACGACTGCATTGGTGGCTGAATGCGTGGCCAGTGGGCCTGCATCCTCGTTAATGGTGTACTGACGATGGATGGACAAACATACCTCCACCGGCGTCATTTTCACACCGATAGTGAAGGGCTACGCCAACACGCCAGTCTCGTCCATCGTTACAACGCTGGATGGACAGACAACAACCTGCAGGAAGTCACTGACCAAAGCATTCGCTGCACTGATTGGTCTTGGCACGATCGATGGATATGACACAGGTGAATAAGCTGGCCACAATCATCGCTGTCTTTTCGCTGTGTTAACAATGGATAAAGCGCAACCTATGCAGCCGCAGTTTCGTAACTTGCCTGTGGACCAGCGAGTGATCTTTATGCGACTCTTTGTTGAGTGTCAATCGAACGCAGCCGAAACGGCTCGCCCCTATAACGCTACCAACTACACGATGAAACCTGTTAATGCGCGGTACGTGCGCCGGCTGGTAGAGGAATTTAATAAAATAGGAAGCGTGTGCAACACAAAGCGTACAGGCCGGACTTGTACCACCAAAGATGAGGTGTCCGCTTGCGTTGTTGAAGATGTGGCAGGTCGAAATATTGATCTAAGCATACGAGAATCGCGCAGCATTGTGCCACCACACCATCTTCTGCGTATCGGATATTGAATGAACAGAAATTCCGAAGGCAGCATGCACTGCAGATACAAGTTCGAAAGCTATGCGATTGCGCGAAGTGTTTGGAATTTTCCTAATGGTATCTGAATAGCAAAGAGGTGCATTCAATCATGGTTACGGATGGGGCACTTTTCCGTCTGCATGGCGCAGATACGCGGTACGTTTGGGCTACCAGTAAACCAGGACAAAGCATCACTTCGCGTGAGCAACATGGTTCACAGCTCATGGCATGAGCTGTGTTGACAGGCAAAAATTATCAGAGCACTTTCACAATAATGTGACGGGCAACTTGACTTTTAATCAGAACTAATGCTTCACATTTGTCAGCATCCTCCTATGAAGAAATGTTATAGTCCAGGATCACTCCACAGCTGCAGGCCGAAGGCATGTTGAGTACCGTTTCGTGGCAGCAGGATGGTGCGCCTGTCCATTCCGCACAAACGGTACGTGATTACCTTAACGAAACTTTCAGTAATTGCTGCATCGGTCGTGGAGGACATATGGATTGACCTGCACGGTCTCCGGATTTGCACCCACTGAAACGTCTAATGCTAAAACCATGCCCACTTGTCTGAAGGAACTGAAACGGAGCATCCTCAACGGATATCGCTGGATATCAGTGGACACTTTGCAGAAAGTGTTAGCCAATAGCATCTGGCGAACGCCGCGCTGCAAGTGAAAGGACGGTGGTCATTTTGAACAGCTACGTAGTTAATTTTTATGCTCTTGAAACACACTTCAGGTAAATATACTTAAATGCATAACGATTGACTTCACCACAACATTGTTGCGATGGGTAGTGGTTCCCATACTTCGTCGGGGTAGAATGAATGCTAAGAGAAAAGAAAGCAAGAAGGTTATGTGAGGAAGATAAACAGTACGATTTAGATGTACTTTAGACGCCCGATTTACGCGCTTTTGCGGAAATGCGGTTGCCCCAGGCCATCAAGGATGCTGGAGTACATGGATCTAACCAAGCGCTGTTTAGGTGTGATCGCTCAATTGTCCGGCAGTGTACAGTGTGTGCGTCGATGTTTACTGTAAACGTGACGTCGGTAGACGAAACCGTTTAAGTTCCGTGAGCTGTGTAACACGCTTCAGTCAAACAAGGGTCACGTACTTCTGTTACGGATCTGATGTAAACCTCGTGTTTGCCAAGTCACTCAATTGTGATTATCGCCATTTTTCTGTCAATCATGGTTCTCACATGGTGAAAGAACTGTAGCTGGCAAGTAACGTAGGAGTGGCTTAAAATAAAACCATGCTGTTATTAGTTGATCAGTGCAACTTGGCTCCTGAGTATTCTTTGCAGGACTTCATGGGCAGCAGTTATTGTTAATAGGCTAGGAGCTGTTCTTTAGCGATGGAGTGAAGATGTTTAGCTACAAGCTAGAAATATTTTCACCACCGTTTCTCGTTAGCGACTGCAGCACTTTACTTCAGTCGTTATAGCTTTAATATGGCTTAATGTCCATATCGTGACGTTGCAAGCATGTCGTCCCTGTAAAAATAAGCCCTAAGTTCGTTCAGTTTGCTTTCGGCCTTGTTCAGTTGCTTATGTTTGCCGCATTGCTTATAGGTGCCGCTCCTTACCGCAGGTTCTAGTACAACGGAACACACAGCAACGTTGTTCACAGATTCACCGGCAGCCATAGCCAGGTCGTTGGCTCAGAATGATGACTGCCAATTCATAGTGCGGCTCAGTTCCTTAAATGCAGTACAGTCAATTCAGTGAATATTACGAGTGGGTTGCAACTTTGTAGGTACTGCCAGGAACTGTGTTCATAGCATCCATCAGCTGCGAGGTATCATGGTGCGTTGCTCAGGGGGGGCCATAGATACAACCAATTACAAGGTATCAACAAATTGTAACATGGTTTGCAATCGAAAGGGTGCAACTTGATGAAATTGTCCACTCATATCGAGATATATAATTACAACGGACTTTTCATCATCAGCAGCCATTGTTGTGTGTTTAAAAACGTTCAATTGCAAAGTACCACTTGACCAGGCCTGTAGAAAGCCACGTTATGCCTCACTGATTTGATATTCCGAGAATAAGAAACCTAGCACCCCGTTTTGATTATTCGTTTCCTCCTGATGTCTTACCAAATCCCGAAGGATCCCAGCGACCTTTGTCGTTCATGCAATTCATTCATAACACCCACTTGAGTAGCCATCAGATAAAGTTTGACAACGCAGTATACCCCGCTATAATGCCGCATTAACATCTGCTCCCTGTGAGTGTGCTAGCTATAAATGTCATGCTCTGGTACTCAATCTCGGTCCCCGCTGCACTAATGAATAAACTTTAGGCTCTGTGTTTATGTCCTTCGTGGGAATGCACTCACTATCATTTCGTTATATGACCTCGCTCTGTTGGATCACGCACACAAAACACCACCAAAGCATCCCAACAACATTTGGCCACCACATGTCCCCTAGCAGTTTAGACATTTTAAACGATGCTAAACGTGTAACCCAGCACTGCGACCGCTAACACTGTCATTTTCGAACTTCTTACGGCAAAGTTGATAGCTTTTAGATGTTAGTCTGCATGTGACCAACGCGGTCTTCTCGTTCACACAGACACAGTGCAGTGCGCCGTAGCTTTCATGAGGCGTTTCTTGTAATTGCTTCCAGCGACACACACAACAAAAATACAGCAAATACAGCAAAAACACAGATTCAAGACTAATCAGTGCGGCGAATGCTTTGGTCAGTGACTTCCCGCAGGTTGTTGTCTGTCCATCCAGCGTTGTAACAATGAACGAGGCTGGCGTGTTGGCGTAGCCCTTCACTATCGGTGTGAAAATGAGGTCGGTGAAAGTATGTTTGTCTATCCATCTTTAGTACACCAGTACCGAGGATGCAGGCCCACTGGCCACGCATTCGGCCACCAATGCAGTCGTGCACACCCCTGTGACCTTCTGAGGGAAAGTTTGAGATGTGGTGTGCCTCGCAGTGTTCGAGAATAAGGTATTTATTTATTTAGTTTTAACACCTATCATTGGGCAGTCGGCGATTTATTGTGCTCTCATGTCACCCTAAGGCGTGAAGTTTCGTCACCGAGCATCGGAGTAAAAGGGAGCATTCTTTTGGAACATACCATACGCATCTGTTACATTTTAGGCTTTCATTCATCAGAAGCTCCTCTACGATTTTCAACCACCGCAACAGAGCAATTATTTGCTTCCACACACCAGGTTAAAGGTAGAATCTCCGGAAAATAACTTAAATATCAGTTTACTGCAAGAATTAGGACGGTGAACCTTTATTTCAGAGGAACCATTCTTCGTTCGTCAATTACTTCAAATTTTATTTTCACGTTACATAGTGGTAGGGATCAACTCGGATTGCGGATAGGAAATGTATCGGCTGCGGAGCTAACTGCAAGTGCGAAGTCAATAGGACGCTGGATTCCCGAGTGGATGAACGCCTAATGAATCGGGCTCAAAGCTAGACTGAATAGCCATCACACCTAACTCAAACTACGCGCTCAAGCTGGTCACCAGACGATTTGGAGGTACACATGCATTGAACTCAGGTCACCGGATTGAGGTCAAGCAGGTGTTCGGTAGCCTGTCAAGTCACTCTTACTGCCGGCCCCTTTGTCTCACCGGGGCTGTCTCGATACTCTGGATGAAACGCATGTGCTGGGTTTTATGTACTTGAAGTTATCGCTGATGGCACTAATGAGACGATACAAAACACTTTGATCTACTAAAAGTTAGCTTCCCATCGTGTTTGCACAGCACTGAGGAGAACCGGATTTCAGATTTCACTAAATATCGACTACGACACATCACCCCGGTCGTCACTGGCCAACTGAACCCAGCTGTCCTAACCACGGACTGGTAGCAGTCGAGTTTCGGGTTCAAGCCCCACAAGGATCGGATGGAATGAGCACTGCTGAAGTATCAAGTAAGGCTGAAACGGCCATACAACACGTTTCCGGGCGTGTAATGGCTGTGTGGCTGAGTGTAGATGTAATGTACTCCTGCTTGAACTACCCATGAAGCAATAATGAGACGGGGAATTTGGAGTGAGTTGCAAGGAAGTACAGCTTTTCGAAAGCACACCTTAGTGGATTTCTTACAGATCAGTAGCTTACCTAGACAAATGCACAGTAACAGCGAGATGCCGGTGTTGCGGACGCCTGTCATCAGCATGTGTTTCTCACGTAAGGTCAACCCGAATAGAATGCATAAAATCGGATCCTGAAAAAGGAGACCAGTGTGAGATGATCACCATCGTACTGGCATGTATAAAAGCCAACTAGTGATTAACGGGAACATTCTAGAGAACATAGAGATATCGAGCAACCAGCATCCGTTCCACAAACAATCATTCTAAACTGACGAGAGTGGGACCAGTAACATGTTGAATCCGTTTGTTTGGGAAGACCAAAGCTAAGCTTGCTACTCTGTTAAGCAATCTGATTCAAAAATGGGAAACTTTGACTGGCCTACACTGGATTTGTAGTTTAATGTTACTTGGAGACTTATATACAAGACTACGCATTATTCATCCTAAGCAGTCAGCAATAATGCATCCCAGTTTCTTCTACTTGAAACACACCAAGCATTGGAAATCGCTACCAGCCGCAAGCCGTGCACGTGAGAATGTGATTACCTTTCGCAATAAAGTGGAAGGCTATCCTGACTCAAAAACCTGTCTCAAATGACAAGATTGAGGAAATCGTTTGTCCCAATAGCCCAAAAGATACCGAAAATATCTTGAAAATAGGATACGAAGATAGCAACAGACAAAAAACCTTTGAAACTACTTGTCTTTGTTGGTAATGACAGCTATCTATATTCGCCTACGCATTCGGAACAAACAGGCAAGAGGACGCTCGACCGATTGTCCGCCGCCAGTCGAACAGCAACGCGTACGCGCTTACGCGAGATCCGCTTTGTAAGGCCGAATGACCAATTGGTTCGATCGACACTGTTTGCGTCGGAGGCAGCCAATCAAGGAGGAGCAAACTAGGATCACTCAACGGAGCGTAAGTTAACCCCTAAATAATCAGTTGCATTCTGATCCAAATAGTTTCTGGTCGCCGCCTAGTCTTCGTTTTGATTCTCAGAGGGCGCTAGACGACACTGACAACTTGCAGTTCTACATTGCTAAACGTCTCTTCAACATCAGTGTGAAAACCAAGTAGAAAGATATAATAATGACATGCCGAACAATTTTATTCCCTTCGACACTAGCTCGTTCCTCTCCCACCTCCTCTAGGCATTGAAATTAAAAAGCCATCGTACACACAGCCGAGTCCCATTGAGTGCTTATTTGTTCCATTAAGAGTCCCTACCTTATCGCTTTTACCAATGCTGAGCATATGGAAAAGGAAGTCCAACTACATAGGCAGGTTTAAAGAAATTTCATGTAGCATTTAATCAGCACGATTTTCAAAATAGCATGAAACGACATTTTAACAGAATACGCCGAATACGCTTATTTCAAGTATCCTCCGCAATTAATTCTATACACCATGCGAAGGTATCGCGCTGCGTGCCAGAGGAAGCAATATGTAAGATCATGCACTTGGAAGGAAAACCAGCAGTAACCTCGCTAAAGCAACCCGAGGCTTAAAGTGCACTCAGTCTGTCTGCACATATTTGGCTTCAGCTGGCTTATCGCTGAAACTTCGGCAAAATATTACTCTATCGACCAACTATTCCGAACGATCTGCGAGGAAATCGGCACGTAGCCTAATCTTTAAGGTGCTGCGCAATAGAGCCAGTTGCCAGTTTGGAACCGTTTGCGACCATGTTTCGTGTCATGTGTCCTTAAATCCTTGTGTACAGCCTCTCAGTTCGGCCGAAATACCTGCTGCTACAAGTACGGTAAAAGAGTTAAACAAACTAAGTCGTAACTTGAGAGTCGGCACTGTCCAAGTTCGATTGATACAGCAGTTTCATAAGTTGATGCAGTAACACAAGTTCCGCCTCGTGATAGCAGCACAATGTGTTTTCTTCTGATGTTGACTATCGTCAATGATCAGCCGGTATGATGCAAAGCCGATTACTCGTATGTGTTGCTACAGCGTCTAGAAGTGAATAAGCGCCCCGCACCTGGCCCCAGAGACAAACACCTTTATATTAGGTAGAGCTAACGGTGAGTCAGGTGTTTGCCCCAAATCTCTAGGTCTAGTTTGGCCTTGTTGGCACACCACGCGGCATCGCTCAGTGACATGCATTTTCGAGTCGCGTTTCTGTGATTTGACGGAACTTTTGCGGAATGAAGTAGCTTTGTTTCCGATGCTCTGAAGATCAGGTTAGTGGGTCTTCCAATGAACTCGGTTCAAACGTTGTCAAGAAGACCGTTGTTCGAGAGCACCCAAGCGTGTGCCTCGACTATTTCTTTCTAGACGTGGTAGTGTGTGCTTGCATGAGTTAATTCTGAGTTCTTGAATGAATAAGCTGTATAGCAAACACAGGGAAAATCTATGACTAGATGGTCGCTAAGACCATTCCCAACAATAACTCGTAAACCATAAGCTCATTATTTGTGACCACGATCTCCTTTACGGATGGTCTGGTTGGTGTCCTAAATCTAGTGGGCGAGTTGACATGATTGTGAAAGGGGGTTTTAGCGATAAGTTCATGCAAGTCTGCTTTGAACTGTTCGTTGGGAGATGCCGATACCTCTAGACCATATACACTGAAGTTACCGGCGATGAAAATGTGGCACATATCAAACGGGAATCTGTTACTGGAGCGGACTTTGGGATGTGGTAAACAACAGCTACGGGACACGCGTCGTTGTGACTTGGTTGGAGACAACATCAAAGTGAGTCAGTGACGTGAGTTGCCGGATACTCAACTATTACAGAGTGCAAGTCCCCGCGGTGGTACGGAATAAACCCACCTACCCTCCTGGGACGGTACTTCCCGATGAGTGACACTCCTGCTATCTCAACCTAGGCATCAGCAACATCTTAGTTCAATCAGGTTCCGGTAATAGAGATTAGGTCCAAAGAATTCACGACCTGATGTACCCTAAGTTTCCTTAGGAGTCCTTGGGCCTTAGTATGCATAAATGAAGGTTACTCGGATTTCAGCAATATGTCGGAGATTGTACAGTTCACGTGTAAAGTTCCGCCGGCTAAGGAGTGGCCGCCGATTAATCGTTTTCTTCGGTGGGTAATTGGCAACTGCTTCGGCATCAAACTCAGTGGCTTCGTAAGCAAACCCAAATATAATATCCTACGTACTGCGCAAGGAGTCTGGTCACTCACTACATCAAAAAATTGTTTGGGCTCACCAGAAACACTGTTGGCGCCCTGTTCCAGTACACCGGGGTGCAGGTCGCTCAATCCCATCGCCCTGACTTCTGATGGATTTTTGCATCACAATCTCGGCGTAACTGCTGCGCTTGGACTGGTTCAACTCGCATGCACTAGCGTTACCCAACGGACCTGGAATCAAATCTTTGTGTTCCGCCAGCCAGTTTATCTCGATACTGTATTTCTGACAAAAGCATCGCCGAATCACCCAAGCAAAAGCACTACATTCGTTGTGTGCAAACTTAGGCATTTACAGCCGTTCGACAGCAGACTTTAGGGGCTCTCTAACCGGTTCTGATTAATAATCATCGGACATTGTGTACGGTGACTGCAACTCATTTTACAGTCATTTGCATCATATTTATCAAGTCATTGCAAATCAATCTTTCGCGGACGCTGACTGGATCTTGCCTGTGCACACATCTAAGGTCTCTCTTCCAATCGCACTGCTACCTTGTCAAACGCCTCGTAAGCGTCCGATCGACAACGGTTGATGCAGCTAGCAGGCCAATCAGCACTCAATAAGGCGACGTACTACAACGTAGGAGCGGAAATCGAACGGTATAAAATTGAAAGCGGTGAGTTTCGGTGTTTTTGCTCCCATTTCGTAGTACCAATCAGGATTCAGACGGTTGAATAATGTCTCTGGTATTAATTCTACATCAGAGTAGCCATTTTGCTAAAACTTCAAATTTCGCTCCATGCCTATGCTGTAATTCAGGATTACTTTCTTATTTCTTTCCGAGATTTTATAGCTGATCTTCCAGATTAACTTCGTCTATTTGATTTCTTTCTTTAGGATAGCGATAAAACCATCTGTTCCTCCGAAAAAAAGATTGATAACAAGCATCAGGTAGCTAGCCATAAGCAGAGTATGGCTAACCTCAGTGTTCAAAAATATTTAGATTCTTCTGACCAATGTGCAAAGTTGGTAGCAACAAACCGCATGGAAAATAGCGGGATCCGGCTAAAGATAGCTGCCAAAACTAAGAACACTGCACCACTTTGGCACCTAAAATTGGCACGAAAATCCACAACCTAGATAATGAGGTAACTGCATTGGACCAAAAGATCAAAAAAGTCAGTCAAGTGCTGCATACACTGGTATCAATCGCATACATAATGTATGTGACCGACAAACCTAATGCAAATTCATTGCAAGCAGCAGCATCGATCTTTCCTTCGCTCATCACGGAAATTCGTGAAAGCATTAATCGGGATAGAAATGGTGTCATCATTAATATAACAGACAAAATACACCTGAAAGCTGTGAAAAGTGTCCTGCTCAATGCGTGTAGCATGAGTAGAACAAAACGTCACTTTATACGCCCAACAAAAGTAAACACTAAGTATGCGGGTCCAATCCCATTAAAGTTAACGAAGTAACTCAACAACAACAACAATATCCCAGAAAAGGATTTCAGTTACTGCCAACACTGGTTTAAAGCGTAGCATGAGCAAAGTTGATCAAACGCCTCTTCAGAGCAAATTAAGTGGAAACAGCTCCAATCTGACGGTAATGCTCCTTCCTGTAGATGTAGAAGTCAACGACTAAACTAGTGTGTATTTAAACTCATCTCAGTGCAAGTGAGATTCAAAAGATTATGTTCAAACTGTTCTACGGCTTCGACCTTGAATTTAGCTTTGGAGAAGGCATGCAAATCGATCGGTCATAGTGACACTGGAAAACACAAATAATTGGGACATTGTAATCCACGACGGTAACTCCACAGCGACCGCAGGAAGCAGCAAAATACCTTCTAGTACTCAGACGGTAGCTTACGTGCCCCTCACTGACTACGAGCAGGAGAATAATCCAGATCAAATTAGGACCCTTAAACAAGCAATCGCGTTCAGCCAACAATATAAACTGGGAGCAAGTCGGAATCAAAACAAACTTACAGTCACTTAACGATAACGCTG